ATAATGACTTGTCATTTGTCTAGCGAAAAATGGTGAGAAAGAGTTATTTGGCGAATGTCTTCAATTTACATTTTTCCATTTGTTGTTAGGAAAAATGCAAGATTTTCCTGGACTGCAAATTCAACTGCATATAAGCAGAGTAATTCTAATTTGTTCTATACCGTAAATTCTGGCAATTTTTATTTCTCAGTTCCATTTCCCATTCTTTTTGGCGCCAAAGATTGTACAAAATAAATAAATCAACCAATCAACATTTGGTGGGCCCACCTCTCCATTTCTGACCCATCATAAATCTTACTCTCCCTCAAAATACTCATATCACTTCCCACAATCTTGCCAATAGGATATCTAACACTCTCACGTCCTTGCGTTCAATATCTGCTAGTAATTAGAGTGTGATACCGGTTATATGGGATAATCGTCCTGAAGCGTGTGGACGAGTTTTGCAATGTTTTGTTGCTGATTGCGCTAAAAGTATAGAGAAAACCAGTTGGGTAGCTTTTCCCATCTCCCATTCCCGTTTACCCGTTTTACAGTTATAGTAACTTTTGCTATTACTTTCATTATAGTAAATCAAGTGGAGAATGTTCTCCTCGTTTCTTGAGTACCCACCTATTCGCTTTCTCTTCTTCCAAATCCCTAACTCCCTTTCTCTCTTCTTTTCCTTTTTTCATACTTCGTCTTATCTATAAACCTTTCATCTACTCTTCTCAAGTGCTCTTTCTACCATCTAACCTCTTCTCACCCTCTTCCCCACCTACTTCAATCAACATCAAAAAGCTACCGTTCAACTCCAACTGTGAACTCCGCACAGCATATTTCACGCATAATCACGGAAAGCCCTGATCGTATCGCGTCCACTTGTCCGTGTCGGTAGATTGATTGTGAAGAAAAATTAGTGCCGAGGCCGTAAATGCGGTGGTTCTCTCATAATTAACACAGCCGAGCCGACGAGTTATTCGTCTTTGTTCTTGGCACGGCCTTCGCCCCCACAGACACGAGCGCCGAACTTTGAAATTGGGCAGCCGTGGCAATTATACGTATAGTTGTTTCTTTTGTGTGCACTTCTAGTCGTGGTGGTCCGATCGATGATCCTTAATGTCCGTATTTGCATTTATTTTCCTCTACTACCCCGCAATTTTCATTTTATTTTGAAAAAATATCTACACTACCTTTTGCCACTTTTTACTATACAAATCTAAGGTGTAAAGTAACGCAATTTTTTGAAAATAAGCTGCATTTTCAAATTTCGGAATGAACTACACAGCCGTGGAATTATTGAAGATTAAAATATCTTATAGAAATAACAACATACTATTATTTATTTTCCTCCAAAAATTCAAATTCAGTTCCAAAAATATATACGACTTTATAACTCATTGTCAGCATACTATTATACTATTCTAAAACTGAAATCATGGTTGAGTGTGCAACCTGCTCATATTTTTTGGTTCATAAAATTATATAGAAAATTTTACAGCCCTTAGGTCATTTCTATCATATCTATGGTCCCATAAAAATATAATATATTGGAACCATCTGGTGCATTTCAGCATTTATGATAAGGCACTTTGCATCTCCATCTAATTTTGCAAAATCTTCTTAAATATCAGTATCGAAATCAAACACTGAGCATCTGGAAAGCATAACACATAACAGAATGAATAAAATATGGATTCAGCCCACTTCCGTCGATTTTTTTGGTTTTAATCGAATGTTAATGATTTTTCATGTTCGCGTGAGTTTTGCGATTTATATGTTTATGTATTCTAACACATGAAATTTCTCGATTCGGTGAATTGCCTAGTCCAACAAAATTATTTAATAGGCAAATAATCACCAATATCGAATTCTGCAAAATTTCAAAGCACTTTATCGCTACTTTAGCAACTTGCTTTACTAAGTGAGAGTATGACAGACCCACACGAACCAATTTTTGTTCTGATTTCCCTACATTTTCCTGCAAACCCCCCTTCCCTTACTTATCGGAAACCTCACTTTCGGATGCTGCAGATTTTACTGGAAATGCCAGCGTCAAAGACGGATGTAGATATATGCGTTCAGTGGCAGTCCAGTGAATCTTCTGCCATGGGAATGGACAATGCCACGGGCAATTTGTCAACTTGAAAGGCTTTGGGAACACTTTTGGGTGGGATTTGGGGGCGCAGGGGCAAACTGGAATTAGCTTTAGCGTTAGGAAGTAGTTCTATATAGTTTTGATTACGTATCGTTTCCTTGCACTGGAGTTGCTTGCGACTTGATGTGTGAGAGTACACACAATGCGCGCTATTTCACGACTATCTACTGGAGTCAGTGAAAAAAGTTTCAGTAGAACACTTTGTTAAAAAAATGATCATTGCTTCAGTTTGTATACCCAGCTAAGCACAAAAACAAAGAAATGAGAAGGAAATTTCTGGGAATTGGCAACTTGTGATTAAATAAGTCGTGAAATACCGCGCGTGTTGTGCAATTCACATAAAAAGTTACAGAGGCTCCTGTAAGACACAAGGTTCTAAGACATCCTGCCCGTAACTTTTTGAGGTACCAAACTCCTATGATTATATGTATTTTTCTCATACCGCCACAATCTCCCTCACCTCCCCCCCCCCATCAAATCTCCTCGCCCTTGAATGTATCCCTCCCCCCTTCGTCACTGATGCTGAAGATTGGCATGTTTTCATCATCGCTTTGTCAAACCACCCATTAGCGCCAGAAAGTTTGCGCTGAGGTCGCGTGCGACCTACAGTACACTCCCATGCCCCCCCCCCCCACCCCCGCCTCCCCCGTACCACACGTTACAGCACACAAAGTTATTAGCACCTGGGCTAACCATATGCGCCGCAAAGTCAACAACTCGTCCGAAGATTCGCATCGACATCTTGCTGCTCGCATACAACTCCCCGTCTGTTCCTCGTTCGCGTTTTTGAATCGCAGGGTAGTTTCGGGTTGTTTATGGTTTTGTTGTGCACTTACGGACTAAGCGCTCTCAATTTTGTGCTTGGTTGTTGTTCACGCATTATCTTACTAAACAGGTACAGTCGATGTTTTACTCTGAAATTAGAATCTGCAGAAGTTCCGCTGATCGAATCTAATGACTGTAAGCAAATTGAGCATATTATTGTAAATTGTGTAAATGCACAAACACACTACTTGCGCAGAAAATTACATTTTGTTAAAGATTCCGCTCGACTTTTCCGATAAATTGCGCATTTTCTGAGGCTTATTAAGCCAAATTTGAAAAAAAAAGTTGAATCCGCTTTTAAGACTGTGCGACCGTGCAAAACAAGATTTTTAGTCTTACGCGAAAACTGTGCAGCTGTGCAATCGCACACATTGCGTACCTCAGCCATAAGTGGACAACTTTTCTGAACATTTCGAAAAGATGTTTCGACTTTGCATAATCTTTACATTTTCTTAACATTTTCTTACTCTTACTTTTCGGAGTTTATAATCATTGTCAAAAGTGTAGTTTTTCTTCATGATTGCATATTTTTCAATAATTCAAAAGCGGAGCCTGGAGATAATTGGAATACTGTAGATCTAATCAATATCCATTCATTGAAAGCCTTTTGTGAGTGGTAACAAATATCTAGTCAATATCTACGAAAAATGATGAATGTCATCTGCAAATGTTTTGGACGATAGAGGATACTCCTCCCAAAGTTTCTTTTTTTTAAATTTTTGCTTAATTGTATTTTTTGCGCCGCTCTCCACCAATAACATAACAATCTTCGCAGAACAATTTTTTCCAAACGGATTCACAATTTAGTGGACCTTTGGGTTCTTGAAGCGACTTTAGAGCTCCAAGCTGTTCCCAACTTACTCCGCCATCATTTTAGCGTTAATCTCCCGTACTTAGCCCCACTCCTTACATAACATCTGTTCTAAAATGTCTCAAGAATGATGCTAGGCGATGTCCCTAAACCACTTGACGTACGACATGCATATTTGTACAGGTCGGCGAGTTGAAGCACTCATCGAATGACCCCAAATTCTCGCTAATCCTGAGCGTGTATTTAGCAAGAGTTGCAGGTGTCCTGTACAGATATATTGCGCATCTGCTAAAAATAGTGGAATAAGTATCTTACGGGTCTTTAACACATAAAATTTCCCTTATCTCAATTACTGATAAATTCGAATTTTTAGGAGTTGTTCCTTTGGTTTTGCTCACCTTCAAGATCACTACTATTTTGCACTAGAAAAATCTGAGATTATTTCAAAGTCAAACAATTTTGATTAGCCGTGTTTGATTTCAATGAAATGATAAAATAAATGGGTGGGAATTCAGTTCTGAATAGGTGAAAGTAAATAATTAACTTTTCATCATTTCCGGTTTGTCACAAAAACAAAAAGATAGTTTTAAAATAGTCAAACTATCTCTAGAAATTATATTTTTCTCGTGTTTACCTTCGTGTAGACTCATTTTACATATACCATAAATTTTATAACATTCTTATGTTAACAATAATCTATTTTCCACACAAAAACGACCGATCACCCTCTTCCTAAAAATTTTTTAAATCAAATTTTTTACTGAGGAAATTATAAAGCTGGGCAACCTATTACTTCTGTTTTGGCCGTGTTTGTTCCATTTACACCAAGTTGTCGTTCGTTCCTTGAGTGTTTTGAGCCACTCCCTCTACCCCCCCCCGCCCTCTTCCTGTTTGTTGTCCTGCTTTTTCCCCTTGCTTTGTCTGCATTGCCGTTCAAGCACTACTTCTCAAGTTTTTCTTGGTTTTCAGCCATTTTCTTTTTCTCCTCCCCCTCCTCCCCCCCCCCCAACCGGAACAAAATTCCTTTTTTCGATGATTCAGTTCGTATACCTATAACATGGACATTACCGATTCTGACAGTTCATTGTTATTCATCCACCCGTGAAACCACTGCTGCGCTCCGACCGCAACCCCTAGCACACCTCTCACTTTCAAATTTGTTTTCGCAGACCTCATTTTGTAGTTCCGTCATGTGCCTCTACTTTATTCACTGAAGATAGTGAGAAATTGTGTATTTACAGACATGTTGTCGTCATCACCACCGATATCGAGATTGTCACATTCTGACTATTGTTCATTCTCGTCATCCGATGATGATGCTGAATCACCAAAGGCAAGGGCTATGGCCATGTTGGAGGAAACACATCCGGGAATTTGCCCACATTGCAAGAAAACTTACCAGGATGTGAGTTAATTTTTACATTAGATTATCATTTAGAACTTTGCTTCAAGTATGATAATCAAGCCCGAAAAATTTTTTATTATCGGAAACTAGATGATATAAATGACCATAACGATCCATTGTTATTCTGATTCATCTAATTGGAGTTGTTGAAGTCTATCGCTGTTACCGTAAGCCTACCGTACCCTTGGGTGGAGATTGAAAAAAAGGAGAACTTTTGGCACACGGGTATACAAATTCCAATTTTCAAATCATGTTAATCTGCTTTGCAACCTATCTCCGATTTTTGTGGCATCTTGGGCGCACGAAATAAATAAATAAGTTAAGTAAATGAATAATTTCAAATAAATGAAGGAACGCTCTATTAAGCTGACTGGGTATGGCAGTACATTCAATTTTTTAACTCTATATCGAATCAATTTGATTTTCGTCAGTTTTCTCTCCAAAAATAAATTTTTCTGTGTTTGTAACACATGCATTCTAATTTTCCGAAAAGGTCAGGTCCTTGAATGTCTTTTGGCCTTCTGGCAACTTTCAAATCAGAATCTTGAAGTATTTGTTTGTCTTCACCTCGTTAGACTCATTTTACTTGATTGTCGAACCTCAATAGATACCGCTACTGCTTCTGACAGACCATATCTCATTAATCTGACACGTAATTAGGCCAAGCATTTATGGTTCACTGCACTAAATGCTAGGATTAGGGCGTTTGTGTTCGTGGTTTGAAGGTATCTGGTAATTATCGAAAGGGTTCTAAAGTTCTTTGTTTGTTTGTTCCCAAATGAAAAGCAAGATTTGCGTGAAAAGCATTTCTTATCAACCTCACTCAAAACCTCTATTTGCTAAAAAGTTCTCGAATTAATACATAAATACATGGGCAATAATTTACAAGTAAAAAAAATAAATGGGCGATATTAATGCTACTCTGTTTGACCGTTTTAATTTCCAGAATTTTTACGTTTCTGCCAAGAAACCTGTAACATTTGGTGTGCAAACTCGATGCCATGTCTTGATTAAAAAAGTAAATATATAGGTTAAAAAATAAATGAGTGAATAAACCACTACCTAAGGCTAGAGCTACTGATGCCTAGTTTAATCCGAATTTTTCACCTCAAACTTGTAACTCAAGCGGGATCAGATTCCATCTAAATTTTCAGTTTTTTTTTCAATCCAATTTTGTGCGTACGATCTGTTGTCGTGCGTATGAATTCCAATGAATCTATCGAGAAAAAGGAGTAGAAGTATTAGTCACATTCTATGCGAAAATCAAGGATTTAGGATTGACTTGGAGTACATTCCTTTCGAGGAAAATTAATTTTGCCTCAGAGTGAAATAACTGGAAGTTGAAATGTATACGATAAAATTTTTCCTTGATAATGCGAGGATTTCCCATCATTTTCTAGACTACATTTTTCCAATATCTACTTCGGTATTCTTTTGAGCCAAACTCTTACGGAATCCCCCAATGACCTCACCTCATCTCTCTACCATATTGTTCAAACGGATCTATGCATCAGAGCAGAGCGTCGATTATCTGTCCGAGCTCCCGATCTAATAGTCAATATTGCGCCATCATAATCTCAGCTTTGTCAAACGCTTTGTCAGCGATAATTACTAGCTTTGGTCGTTCTTAAATGGGGTTTACTCTAATGGATGTGGAAATCATAGGGCTTTGGGGAGTTGAAGAGGGGAAATTCTCTGAGGTGGAGGAGAGGAAGGTGGGGGGATGAAGAGAAGCAAATTATTATGAAAGATGCATTTCTTTTTGTACGCCGTGGAATCTGGACTTTATTGGAATTGTAAAATAAGGACATTTTCGAAGACTTTCTCATGATTTTTTTAAGCTGAAATTTCGTCAAGCGTCTCTGCCTCTCTGTCCCCCCCCCCACCTTTCCTTCGACTTTTTTCCCTGATTCAAGTAGTGCTTAACCTATAATCCAATATTCTTTTGTTCATGTGTTTGATTCATACCAATTAGCAACCCTAGTTGCGTAAGCGACATCCGAGATTGGCGTGAGTGAGTGCGCAACCAAGGTTGTTGCGCTACCGGAGAACTTTGTGTGAGATCGTAAAATGGTAGTGGATGGGAAAATAGTAAGAGTACCAAGAAGAGTATTTTGATTGATAATTACTGGATTTGAGAATTTATGGTTTGAGAAAACATCGCTTTACGTAGTTAAAATGTCAAGTTGAAATGTCAAATTTTTGGAGCATATTTGACCTATAGAAATTTTTCGATAAACTAATAGGACCCAAATTTGCTCCTAATAACTTGGGCACGGCAAATGTCAAAGGAATAATTCAACCAAAACACATTTTGAGGATCGATTTCTTTGTGATTTTCAGTGAATAACATGAATGTGGTTTATCATGCGGGAGAAATTCAAGAAAGGGAGGTGTTAGGTTGGGAAGAAAAGAATGTCGTTTTCTGGTTTCTTTGGCCAAGTTGATATTTCCTGTGAAGTAAGTCATATCCAAGGCCAAAGTTTTAGAATTAAAGTTCCGAAAGTTTGAAGTATACATGGTTTATATGGAAGGAGCCGGACTACTGAAGGCGCAGTTTGTCTTCTTCAGTTTTTCAATTTTCCTTGATTTCAAAGCATGAAAAAGTATAGCAAATGTATCTGTGGATAAGTGCATGTGTCTGTTAAATGCAGGAGCAAATTAGAGGATCGTAGGATTCTTAAATCCGAACTTGGCATCAGGAGTTGCTCTTATGATTTAGCTCCAACTTTGATTAGATCACGACTACTACCACTATTCAAAGATCATCTTGTACGTTCCCCTTGCTCTACTGAATGTTTTGCCGCACAAGTTTTTCGTACTCCTCTTTTCCAATAAAAACGACATCCTTTTCTTTGCAACCGAATACAATAGATAAGGGATTTTTCCAAACTTATGAAATGCGGTTGCGATTTGTTTTACGTAATATGATTTAAGCAATATCGGTTGGGAGGGTCAATGACCGAATGATGAATCAAGCATCATAAACAATTGTCATCAAAAGGTTTTAGATAAGGTTGTCTGAATGCATTAGCGAACTAGGGAGAAAGTGAATAATAAGCAGAATAGATTTGGCAAGATGTATGACTCAGTATTGAATGAATATGAAGTACAAGTTAGTAGATCTAGCTCTTTATCGAATCCCTGCGGTGTCTACAACATTTTGGCGTGAGAAATGGCCATGGGGCGAGATGAGTTAAAGATGTGTGCTCTGTGCATTTTTGTGCGCAATTTTTCGGCATTAGAATAATGGCAACTTGTTCGCGCGCAAATGTTGTGGGCACCGCAAGTACACCATGTCAACCACCAGATACTAAGCGATTATAAGTTGTGTGAGGTGTGATTGACTAATTGTAAGAGTATATAATTGAACGTGTAGTTGAATAAAAGAATGAACACTATAAAAGTTAAAAATTTCAAATGGTCAAAAATAAGCGCACCAGATAAGGACTTTGTTGAATTTTTAGGAAATAAAAGGCTAGTTTAATACTCGTATATCTTACATTTACCATCGAAAACTTTTTGAGTATGACATCTTAAAAATTTCTCCCCATTTTTTCGTAATTGCGCGTCTAACCCGAACTTTTAAAAATAGCGTGTTTTTGATCACTTCCTCTCTTTATCCAAACCATTAACGATATAGCTATCCACTAAGTGGTTTCTTAACCACGTTTCCTGGCTCATCACATAATTCTATGTTTTCTTAATTGCGCTTACTAAATGCTAATTGACTTCCCTGGCCAGGCAGCTGGCTCCTTAGCATAAGCAATTAGCACAGCTCCTATCTCATCAACAGTACGATTTATGAATGCAGCCATGCATTCTTCCACGCAAATCCATGCTTGTCCATCCATCCATCCCGTCCATCGATGTCATGTCGCTGACCCTGATTTGCATGTACTTGAGCTGGGGATTTAGCCGCACTTTGTCGCTCACAAGGGGGCATTGTGAGGGTTCTTTGAAGAGCACGACGTGTGTCGAGTACCGTCGCCTTGATATGGTAATCGGCTGCGACGTCTCCGTTTTGTGCCCGACGTTTTGGGAATGGGAACTAGCTTTTGAAGAACGAGGTGTCAGCCAAAAATGGTTGGCATGCGGGCAGGGGCATGAGCACTTTTCGGGGTGGGGGGGGGGGGGGAGGGGCAGTGGGCCTTTTGCTGGGAAATTTTGAGAACTATACACTGTACACAAGCAGTTGACTCTCAATTGAAGGATTTTCGAAGCCTTATGTGAATTTTAGGGTCATACTTTATGAATATCATAACGGATTTGAAGCTATTCAGCTTAGTGCCCGTATGATACAAACGGAATTCAAAAACAGGGCTCGGCACAGGTGTCTTATAAGCAAGTTGATTATCGTGTTTGCGACAAAAAGTAAAGGGGGCAAAGGCCAAAAAGACACAAAAATTGCGACGTTTTTTTGGTTGACGTTTCGTTTTTTGGAGATTTTTTAGGATTATGGTTTAGAGTTAAAGGAGGCTTCGTAAAATTCTGGGAAAGTCAAGGGCGACTTCGTTTTTTGCATTTTCGGAAAGGCACCTCGTGTCGAGCATTGATCAAAAATGAAAGTGAGAAAGATTTGGCAGAACATATAACTATTAATATACGTTTTGCTCGTGATTCATGCTTTAATTGAATCTCCTTGTTACGCTTCTTATTATGGATTTTTGACTGTTTATCATGTGCGTTAAAAGTTTTTCTTTATTTACAAGAGTACATGAAAAAAATGCAAACATAAAATCTGTATGCCTTACCTTGACACACAGCCGAGTTCATCTTTCCCTTTTCTCAGAGATTTGCATTTTGATTTATCTTTGAAAATGTTTCCATAGCCCAGAAACAGCAATTTCAAAGAGCAGATTGCATATTAGGCCCTTTAATGGACGGGAAAATTTTCGAATAAAACATTCTCCAAACTTAGCAGATTAATATTCGTTAAAACTGTTTGTGAGTTGAAGTGACATTGATATTCACAAGATGCTTAATGTTCTTCAATTTTGATCACAAATTTAGCAGAACTGTGCATGATAAAAATCCCTAGTGCTTAGATAGTTTTTTGAGCTGCAAAAACCTTGTAAAATTGCCTTCCTCATACGACATATTCCGGTTCGAGCAAGCTGTAAACTTATGCAAGTAGGTCCTATCTGTGAATAATAAAAATGATTATGAATTTTATGATAACTGGCTAAGCAGTGAATTCACGCCTTTCTAATCTCGTAATTGCAGAATAATAAGTTTATTTGAGATGCTTTTGAAAAAACTAGCGAAGTGCATTTCTGTCCGCTTCTTCACGAAAAATTTGAACATATCTAGTAATTATTCAACTTTACAGAACTTTCAGAGATAGAAAATGGAGAGTAAAGACTTTGTTTTATAAACAAGAGTATTGCACAATCGAAATGGCTGAAAAGCTCATGAAATATGGACTCCATACACAGACAAAACATATAAAAAATCTGTGAAGTAAATTCTTTCATTTCAGCCCGTCACTCTGTACTGCGGACATTCACTGTGCTCGAAATGCTGCACATCACTTCTGGAATCTTCCGGAGTAAACACAGCACCTCGACGTACGAGAATTCGAATGGGACTCAGTAGTGTCAGCTATTCGCGACTCGAAAGAAAAAATAGTTCGCAGTGAGTATTCTTGAAAACCTTTCTGTTTGATTCTTTTGCGAACCTTATGCAAATATTTGCAAAATCTTAAAAATTGCTTCGTCAGGTCCGTGAGTTCTGTGCGATCCACGGGCGTCATTTACAAATCTCCACAATGTATTGTGTGCGGGGAGCGAGCGAGAACGGTAAACTTTCAGCCAATGAAATTTATATTTTTGCAAAATTCTATTTATGTCGTGATTATTTTAGACCCCTCCAGTGCCTAACCTTGAGCTAGCCAATTTTCTAAAAACCCTCAAAGTGGAGAAAATGACAGAGCATGAGAATCCAGCCTATAGAGAAACGGATGACGATAGGTAAGTGGATTTGCAGATTTTTCAATGCTAAGGCTGACCTCTGAAACCAACGAACTTTTTAAAAAAATATTCTTTTTAGCATGTCTTTTGAAGAAGATAATTGTCGTCGTATTAGAGAATGCAAGATCGGAGTAGTAGGAGCATCAGGAGTGGGCAAAACAAGCTTGGTAAGTTGCCTGATGGATGGATTTCCCTTGGCTAGATCTCCATTTTAGCGCTGAATTCATTTTCAAAATTCCAGATCCGTGTACAATATGGGAATGACATCCTCTTCAGTGACATCCTTGGCAAACGTGCAGAACCTAGTCTTACCAATACCTTCATGATTGACATTGTCGATTCTAATGTGAGCTTCAAGAAAATAGGCAACTTAGATATAATTCAGTGTATTGCACGATACGCACTGTATCTCACGACTTTTGTATTTAAATCCTATCAAAAGCAGAAAGTGCTCCTAATTTTTTTCCGTCAAACCTGTATAGAGAACCTTTAATTCAGTCGGCTCGGCGGCTGGAAGGCGAGGCCTTGTGACCTACTTAAGGCCGCTCGCGTCCGCGACGCAGTCTGCGTCTCTCCCGGGCGCGTGCTCTCTGATCATTACCTAGCCTTGATTAGGTCACGAACCCCGCTTTCCAGCCGCAAGCCAGTTGAATCAAAGGGTACATAAAACACTGTTGATTAACCGCTTTTTGATAGAATGTATTATACTAAAACGGTTGTTATTAACTTCTTACTATTGAGCAGTCGTGAGCTGCCGCGATCGATGTGCAATCTCAGATTAATTTACATATGTTACTGCATACCTTTTTACAATATTTTCGAACTGTACAATTCAACCGTTCTATATTCTAGCTTATTTAGAACAGCGACGATTGCATGCGAACTTCCCAAGGCTTTGTCATAATGTATTCGATAACTGACCGCGAGTCCTTCTACGAAGCTGCGGATATCTACACTTTGATTGAACAAATCAGAGGTGGAAAGGTAAGCGCCTCACAGTCCCGACAGAAATTTTACAGCTTTATTTGCTGCTTCTCAATTTGATATCACTTGCTTTCATCATATAATGTATTTCTAATTTTGCTAACTTTCAAGCAAAGAAAATTAGAAGCAATAGAGTATTACGGTAGAGACATAAAGAATAGAGCAAATTTGGAATCAGTTAATGTCCAAACTACTGATTTTTTACAAAAATTTGGACCTTATTAAGCCGGAGCCACTTAATTTGTTACCTTAATAATCAATACGAACGAATTTCCCTCACATTCAACAAACCGTCGATGACTGAAAAGTTTAGATTTGACTGGCTACCCAACAACTTATCAGAAATTTTTTCCAAAAAAATCAAAACTTGCGCCCGATCGGAATCTATACACGCCATTATCAAATTTTCGTCTTATGCCATAATCATTTTCACAAACGTTCGAAAAAAATTTGCGCACTCTTATTTGGAATATGTTCGCTTAATTAATGAATTCATCTTCAGATTCCCATCGTCCTTACTGGTTCAAAATCGGATCTGCACAGAAAACGACGTGTCACCGCTTATGAGGGTCAAACTCTCGCCAGACACATTGGCTGCCCTTTCCTTGAGATTTCGGCAAGAAACAACGATTGCGTCAACGAGGTGAGTTTTTGGACATTTTGAAATATTTGAAAAAAAAACTCGAAGTTCTCTTTGGAGGAGTTCCAAACTTTTTCCACAAATGATTCTCTTTTAGGCCTTCCTCGAACTGATGCGAATTGTTGAACGACGTCGACTTGCATCTATTGCCTAATGTGATTCTTGTCAATTTTTTTTTAATTTTTGAAGTATTGCTTGAGTGGCGTCATTTTTCCTGTTCTAGCCTTGTAGAATTGTCCCTTGCTAGAAAAGTGCTTCTGCAACAATTTGTGCTATTTTTTGACCAACAGGGTCTATAGCAAAGGCTGTGCCTATAGTTGCTTGCGTGCCAGCAGCGGAAGACGCCGCAACGCAGCACGCAACGCGCGGTGTTATCGCGGCACCCTGTGACGGCACGCGAGCAACTATGAACGCAGTCAAAAAGCTCGGATAGCTCCCAGTAAGGCAAGCCATTCTTATTTCTTCTTTGGAAGAAATTTGGCTTTTTGTGGATATTGTCGTCTATTTTTACTATTGCTATCGTCGTGATAAGTGTAATAATAATAATAACGCTTTGTTATACCTGTGAATAATGTAAAAGCTATAAAGAGTAATAAAATTGTACAATAATATGTGTGACTTGTACAGAACAACATTTACGAAAGAATACATGCGGGAAGCTAAATTATGTGCAAGACGCAAATAACAATCTGAATTCCCGCCCAGTTTCATTTTTCGCCCACCTTCATCGTGCCAGGACCAGGAGGAGAGCGTTTTTGGGCGCGAAATTTGACTTTATCGTTTTCCACACCGTAACCGATCTTGAATAGGCAATAAAAACTTCTAAAACATGTTCGTTTTACACTTTTAGTGGTCATTCGCTGTCGCGGTCTGACTTTGCACATAAAACGCGTATCAAAAAAGCTCTCGACAGTTTTTTACGAGCGTATCCGTATGTTTCATAGCACTTTGCAAGAGTTCACGATACGTTGACCCATATCCTTTTTGAAGAACATATAAATGACGAACAACTTGAAGATTTAGGTGAAGGCAACGTCTATCATTTCTTCTTTTCCTTGCTACTTGTTTCGTATTATCTAGAAGCAAAAGGACTTTCAGAGCCAAAATCTTCTAAAATTTTGTCTCAAAATAGCTGCTTTTCGACGAGTGAAAATTCTCGCTCTTTTCTTTCTCCACTCAATATAAACTCGATATTATATTCAGCAAAATTCATTTTATCAATTGACCTACACTCCAGTGCAATAGTAATTTCGATGAGGTCTAAGTGAACCCGAATTTCTCTAGCCTCTTGATGGGAATTGAAATTTTGCATGGATGACCATTGAAACAATCCGGTAAGATTTTTGCTTTGCCTCATCCTCCTAAATCAAAACGTAATGACCTCATTGTTAAGTCAAAGTTCTTATGGCTTTGGATCTGCAGAGTTTGGCGATATATTAAGTTGCTGTCAATTCAGCAATCAATGAAGTGAACTGTGAATTTTGTGCAATCAGCTATCTCAAATTATTGAAGACTTCGGTAGTATAAGAAAAGAAATAGATTCACCGCGTAGTCAAATAGGTTATAAGCGAGCAAAAGTATGGAGAACCTTTAGACTAGGTAACATTCTCTTCTTTTCTTAGCGAAGACTAGCAGGTTTACATAACTTCTTCTTATCTTGTTTGAACATTTTTTCAATTTTTCAAGAATAATCACGGAATTCCAAAGTAAGCAGTAGTACACTGCAAGACGACTACATCGAAGAGTTCTAGCCCCAAGTGCTTCAGTTCCATTGTGGCGCCATTTTTTTACTGTGTTCGCTGAAGGGGCCACTAAATAAATAGAGGAAAAAATTCTTTGCTTAAAGATACTGCAAAAAGTTCGCAGGTACCATTTTTCGGTTTCTCTGAGGAAGCAGAAAATTGTGCTTTAAAGCATTTTAATTTTTTACCGTTGAAAAAAAGAAGGAGCTCTCCGTTTTCGTACTATTAAATGTTCTAAGTCTGATCTCTTTGTATCAGCGAAACTTCTGCGGTTGTTTCGCGATTAAGGTTTTTATAGCGTTGAAGGACAACCACGACCATGCAAGTTTACATTTTTGATCCGAAAAATATCTGAGCCTTCTTCTGATATGTCTTTTTTCTCACAACTTCTCGCAACTGTGCCCTTCTAGGAACTCTCCACCTCTTCTCGATGAAGTGAAAGCAATAGTGATTTTTATTCAAATTTTAAATGATTCTCATTTTTCCAAAACAACATTTCAAAAAAAAACGATTCACTTCTATAAAAAAGTAAGCATTTATAAGCTAGAAAATAGTGCTCTAAAAATGTACAAAGTCTTCCAGAAACATGGTTTCCTTTTCGAAATCAGCATTCCAAAAGGAGGTGGGAAAAGCTGTGTTAATTGTATTCCCCTTATAAAAACTGGACAAACTGCAAGGAACTTATCTCTTGTTGAGTTAGTTTCTAAGTATGGAAACCACAATAAAACGAAAAGTAGGTCAAAAATTGAGCATTTAAGACAAGAAAACCTTTAAAAATCCTATAAGGCCCTGTAATATTTCCTCTAAGAACTTGAGAGTCAGTCTTCTATGGTTAGTTAACATAGTTGCAGGTGTTGTTCATGGCCAAAAATAATTGTGTAGATTAATCTGTCATTGCAAAGCAAAGGTAAAGGCCGTTGCACGACGAAGGCGCAGAATCGGCATTAATTGAGCGGGCGCAAACGTGACGCGCGCGTATCTTCACCATTGTAAATTCTGCGCCTCACGCGCTCTGCGGCTAAGAAAGCCGCGTTCGCGCACAAAGGTATTGCGCCTTCGTCATGCAGCAGCCTATATGTGATGATGCAAGTTCTCCTTGATTATTTATTAAGAAGTACGATGAAGATATTTCTGAGCTCTGTCTAAGTAGAGTACTGCGGTATCATTACAAAACTCTAAAAGAGATGAGGATCGAGCAATTTAGTCATGGAAAGCTTTTTTTGTTTACAGACCTCTAGTAGTCCTCGTTACTTCCTTTATATGCCGCAAAAGGCCGAAATTCCAGTTCGAATGTATCTAGCTATAGTTTATTTAACCACTGAAAATATTTGCCCGCAAAATTCATTCGATCAAGTTACTTTGCAATGGGCAATGGCCATATTGAGTACTTTGTATTTTTCAGTTCCGCATTCCAGGTATCGAACTTTAAGTCACTTAATTAGCCGTAGGTGGCCTCCGCACAGTGCCTAATGGATTCACGACATCTTCGGCCTCACATCATGTGTTTCACTCCTTTCGAAAACATACTTTCACCTAAAACTATTCTAACAATAAGACATTTTTGCTGCTCAACATTTGTTAGTGCTCTCCTAGCTTCTGATATAGAATGTGTCCTGTAAGATCTGATTGATAGATACCACGATCTTGATCTTCTTCTCGGAATTCATAATCTTTCGAGGGTACTCCGTAACCGAACCAACCTTTAGGAAAGGAACCGCCGATGATGCCTGTCACATTCATCTGCGCCGTCGCAGCTATACTCTCATCAACAGCTATAACCTTATCAACAGCGGGAATGCTATGTATCTATATAGGCACACTAGAAAGAGAAATGACCTTTGAACTGGATCTAATCAAGGTTCAAAAACCCAATCTTTTTTAGTCAGAAACAAAATTCAAACTTCAGAAAGAGACTGACAATCTCTGGCGAGACATGGTCAGTATGGATCAAAATCTGGAATTGACAAGAAGAACAAGAAGAGATCTGGAAGAGGTGCTCGATGTCACAGAAGCCGTAGCAGTATTCCCAGACCAAGAGAAGATTACTCAGATACCAATACTTCTTTCACGATGCAGTGAGTCACAAAATGTTTGGAACAATCAAGCAATGGGTATTCGAGAACTTAGCAAAAATTTTGTTTTCACAACAACTGAATCATCAAAACAACCATGTAAAAAATGTCAAAATTTTTTGCATGATTCTTGTGCTTCAATCTGGCTTGAGAAATTGAGAAATTTCAAGATCAGCCTTAGACCCCCCCCTTTCGAAAATGTGTAGTTTATAAATACTGTGGTATTTGACATCAGTGTGCTATGCCGGACAAGCGTGCCCACAAGGACCACCAGGACCACCTGGAGAAGAGGGACCTGATGGTATGGACGGGGTCAATGGTGTAGATGGTTATGATGGATTTGATGCGCATCCGAGTCCGCCACCGGTGAGGTTACTGTAACTTATGACTTTGAGAAAGTGGATTGTATGGTTTAGCTTCTGAGTCCAAGCTATAATACTTCAAGAACTATAGTAAAATGACTGAATTATTTTGAATAATTAATCATGCAAATTTTCCTAGAATAAACTAACTGCAAATGGTTCCCTATCTGTTTAAACTATTATTCTTACAGAAAATCTCAAAAGGCTGCTATCATTGCCCTCACGGAGAGCCAGGACCTCAGGGACCGCCCGGACCCGTAGGAAAGCGAGGACTTCGCGGAGCTCCAGGCAGAGCAGGCCGACCAGGTTACAACGGACAGCGAGGATACCCAGGCGATATGGGTCCAGTTGGTCCGCCTGGTCCCGACGGAGAGGCTGGCAAACCCGGACCAAATGGAATTGATGGAGTAAAATATATCCCGAGGCAAGGAATTAAGGTAAACAAGCACTCAATAAATAAAATGTAACTTTGATTTCTGAGTATTTCAGGGTATTCTGGGGGAGCCCGGACTTGAGGGACCACCCGGATTTAGAGGCCGACCAGGGCTAGTAGGCAAACCTGGTGAACCTGGAATGCCAGGAATGCCAGGAATGAATGGAATGAGTGGAGCAAGCGGAGCCGTTGGAAGCCCCGGTGCACCAGGACGACGGGGAGATGACGCATTAGTAAGATTCTCTGTCCTAAATACAATAATTTATAGATGTGTTTATTTCAGTACTGTGGCTGCCTACCTCGAGATACAATCTATAGAACAAATGTTACTAACTCCCAACAGCTGTGACCTCAATGATTTTGTGTTAATTGCTTTATTTTTGCTTTTAATTCTATAGGTTTCATGTGCTCTTGTATAGAGTACGTATGTGCAATTTCCCTTGATCTTGATGTGATTGTGCAATATCTTGTCTGCTCTTATGGCCGATAAAGTTAGATTGCCGCATTCAAACTAGACTTAGAAACAACTGCTATCACGAATTCAAACTTTCTACTATCTTATTTGATGTAAGGATAAGGTAGCTACCACCACAATGGCATCTTTGCAGATTAGGTGCCATTTTAAAATGTTTGCAGAATTATCGGAACCTTTGGTAGTGGGGTTGCAGACCCGCTGCTATCAGCAAATGACTCCACGCCAATTTGTGATTAAATCAGTATCGTCATTTCTTAGTAAAATCTTGATTTCTCAGAAACCAACTGAATCGAGTAGTATTGTTTGCCTTCTTGTTGTGTACTGATTTACGTATCCTTATGGAAAACTAATGTTTCATCTTTGATCTTTATTACCTTAACTTTATTATTTTGCATCCCTCTTTAGATCTTCTTGTGAATCAACAGCAATGCTTGTTTTTTGATTTTCGTATTCTTTTATGGTGTTGTAAGTACGTCAGCACCGCAAAAGCAGTATCTTCGCATGGACTAGCCGTTTAAGGAGCCCTGAACTTGGCGAGTCCCCTGCCTTGAGTCCTCCCCCCCCCCCCCCATTCGCCCAGAGTCCTGACGATTCGTCCGCCTACGGTTAAGTCGGTCAGCCAAGCCTTGGTAAATTCGGTCAACATCTGCGTCTCGGTAGGGAAAAGGATCTCGGCAGGGAAATTTTCTCACCTTCCGAAGAAGGAAAACGACCTGAAGGATCTTGCAAGGGGTCAATATCGACGTTCACTCTTTCTTTTCTTTTTCTTTTTTTAGTCAGTGCACCTTTGTGTGTGTATATAAATAAACGATAAATAATAAATTTTTGCAACACGCCTCAAGCAATAAATAAATAAATAGATGAACAAGATAAGCTGGAGGTCACGCTGAAGTGCAATGCCTATACCTGAATTAAAAGATCCCAAATAATGGGGTTTCCGGCTCCAACAATTTTCATACTTTGCATCTATTAAAAAAAACTTTTTCAAAACTTCTTGTAATAGGGCTTATCAAGTATCCGTGCATCAGCATCTCCACTCCCTCGTCGGACTCTGCGTTTCTTCCGCTAACATGTCATCTAATCACTTTCCCAGTGCGAGCGTGAGAAAGGCGGAGCCTCAATCTTTTGGAAGCGATTAGAGCGCATTTCGCGGAAGAGACGCAGGATGCAGCGCTGGAGTGGAGATGCTGATGCGATCGACACTGCATTTTATAAGCCCTGTATATCCCACACCACCTAAGATGTTTTTCAAGATTGCAACGCCGTTCATGCGCTTAGCGATGAACTATAAGACCAAGAAAAAATGGTTCATCTTCTTTTTAAGCCATTTTCTGTCTGTGCATAATGGCATAAGGAGGACATGTTGTATCTCTGTGCAGAAAAAAACTTTCCTTTCGAAAAGCAGCAATTGCCGAAATCCCCAATTTTCGTCCCTAGAGAATTCATTTTTGGAAGCTCAAAATCAAAAGAACTGTGGATTAAGTAGCAACTTGAAGAGCACAATCAGTTCTTTTCAATGGTATACGCAGGTTGCAGCAAATAACCCGCTTCTCAGGGAAACTGAGGAAGAGAATGAAAACACTACGAATCTATGGATAACCTAAGTTAAAGTGCTGAAAAATGGTATTCAAACGTCCACTACGTTGAAATGAGAGGGCCATCGAAGTCAAAACTGTGTTTACTTCTGGATAAGTCTTTGTTTATTGATAGCGTGGACGACAAAGGTTCATGAAGGGAAAGTCAGAGTTTTTGATAATGTTACGGCAAGAAATCACATTTGGCTTCTTTCTATCCTAATTTGCCACTTTTTTCTTGACTAGTTATTTTCCCACACAGGAACGAAAAGGCTAAACGACGACATGGTGGAGTGCGCTTCAGCTAAAAATGCCTTGGTTCAGTAAGGATTACTGTAATCTTTGAAAAATGCGAAGTCCGCAATGCCAGATAGCCTGCAGATTTTACGCCTTTTCGTATAGTGTTTTTTTTTACTTTCTGTGTGCTTTTATAGTTTTGTGGCATGTCAGGTAACGTGGTTTTGGTAAATTTGATAAACTTAACTTGTTCTTTATATATGCGATTGGGCAGCTGTTCCCATAAACTGTGTACATGACCAAAATCAAGCAACAGAAATTTGAAACCCAGAATCTCATCAACATTATGATCAGGTATGATCAAACGGATATTGAACGTTATTGGGAAGAGGACAAAGGATGCTCATTATCAACAGAAAGCAATAAAAAAGGCGGACGACATTTCGAAGGGTGAGAAAATTCTTGCTCCGAAAGTACCCACAGAAGAGAAACGATTTCGGGAAGCACAAAACAATCCGAAAATCAAAGAGGTACGCTCATTACATCAATAGAAAGTTTTCCTTTTTTCGCTAATGAAACCTTTCCGTTTCTGTTTTTAAATACTCTTTTAAAAACGTCTTCAACTTGGCTAATAGAAATGATCAAAATTCAGACTATCAGCAAATCTAGGGCTCTTATTTTCTGCTAAGAAGTGCATCCTTATTATCGTATGGAAGTCGGCAGGCTCATCGAGTATTCAGGTGTATCTTTCCAGGTTATCAATAAGAAGGATACGACGCTTATCGATAATGTGAATAAGATAAAGATCACCTCAGAGGACCCTGTCGAAAGATGGACATCAACTAAGTAAGTTCTTAGTTTTTTCGAATTTGAATCCATTTTCCTTTTTTTGCTCCGTCGTTCTATGTGATTGCTGCCGCCCGAGTATTGCTTTAGAGACCTCCCCACCCGTGAATCTGAATGGATGCATAGAAATGATCCTGTTTGGGAGTATGGCTTTTACGAACCGGAAGAAGAACGAATACCAAAAAATAAGCTTATGTTTCGTGAAGCGTTGGAGGTCAGTCATTGGTGTGACCTATATTTTGTTCGTATATTTCTTTGCTAAAGTCCGTTTCTTCCGTTATTTGAACAAAGGACATTGTTTTGAAGGTGTTGCGAGCCAGACAAGAAATCGAGGATGATGAGGATACACCGGCTGCAGCTAAACGGCGGTAAGAGGTCTATTTTGCTGTTTATAGTTTCTTACCTTGAGTAAATTTTTAGAAAATTAGTCTTTACTACTCGCTATATTCTCATTCATTCCTTTCAAAGATTTTTCTTTTTGTTTTTCAGAGAAGAAGCACGTAAATTTTACGATGAACATAAAGCAGTGGCTCGTGTAGACAAGGAGAAGCTTGAGGATATGTGGGAATATTTCCGTCCTTATGTGAGGAAGGACAAGCAAACGGTTAGTTTTGCTAGATTTCGATGACATGTAGCATGCAGATATCGCTTGCACTTTCTTCTTTGGTTGCTCCTTTTTGATGTCATTTTGACGGCGCTCTTTATGTCTTTTAATTTGCGATTTTCAAGGTTGTGTCCAAATTCGAACTCCAGCAGCTGCAAGCACATTTGCAAGGGATGTCTGAGGAGACGAGCATTTTGGAAGGCACTCGCGATGGTTTCCGAAAACTTATCGAGCGTAATAAGCAAGCTGTGAGCCACTATGATCAGGTGCGTATGTGGCGCATTCATCTTTCTTCTTTTCGAGAACATGGAAGTGCAACTCTAATCTCTTACTTTCAGCTGGAAGAAGCTGAGCGCAAGCAGTTGCTAGAGGCTGTTTTGGAGCAGAGAAAAGCCGAAAAAGAGCGATTACAATCGCGGTTGAAAGATATAGAATATGTAAGTGGTTCAAAGTTTTCCTTCTTTATTTGAAATGATGTATTTACTGCGCTCACAAACTTTATCGGCGGTGATCAATCTTTGCTTATCTTACTTTGTTAGATTTGAGCTTTCTGCTTCTCTTTTGGCACCTTCCACTGATTTGTGGGAAGTGCGTCACAAAATTTATTCAATATCTTTTTTGTGATAAGTTCCAGGGCTGGGCAAAGATAGCGTTTCTTGCGCACAGGACTTGTCAAGCAGCAGCGGGAAAGGGGAGGGGCTTCATGTGATGCTTCCGAGGCAACGTTGTAGTTTGTAGCTTGATTCCTGAGGCACTGTTCATCCTAATCCCTATGTATCTGAGCTTATTTTAATTGAATCTATCTGACGAATTTACAGTTGAACGAACAGTCAAAGGAGACCGCCTCTGAGGAAAAGAAGGAACCGGAAGCCGCCGAAACCGAAAAGAAGAAAGCTGAAGAAAACAAGAGTTAATAGGATTTCCCAGCTTACTTTTACAGTATAGAGCTCATATAGTTAGGTAGTTTTTCTTCTCTTGTTGTTTTAGGATATCTATTTCATGCTCTGCAGATTTCAGTTTTAGTGCTAGGGTCATGCATTACCTTTGAAGTTGTTCATACTCTTTGACGATACGGGTACATTTTTGCTCTTTATTCGAATAAATTACTGAATCATCTTCTGTCAGTGCTTGAGTATGGCAGCAGCGGTAGCATCCAAGTGAAGGTTGTTGCTTGGTTTGGGTGTATGATTTATCAGCGTCTACTTCTTTTAGCTAAATTTATTAGGAGATTTCGCTAGAAATGCAGTAGTGATAGCTTAAGACCAAAATGCAGCGATTTCGTGTAGCTGTGGGGATATCTGGAGGTGTGGATAGCGCAGTATCCGCGTGGCTGTTGAAAAAGAAGGGTTACGAAGTCTTTGGCATCTACATGGTGAGGTCGCACAAGTTTCCTATCATTTGATCATCTATTTTATTCATTTAAAGTTTGTTCCCGGTTTTTTTATTTTCAGTTTGTCTATTATTTTATCTTATTTTATTTTGTTCCATTGTCCTCTTATTAGTTTTTTTTTGTTGCTGCGCCAAAGTCAAGTGTCTCAAGAGGTTTTTAAAGCAATTGCATCGGTTCAGATGGTAGCACATTACCTGCGTAAACTGCAACTTTCTTTTATCAAACTTTCTTAAGTTAGGTAAAAGGTGGCTTGTCGCTCAGCTTTTTGAATACCGTCTCTGTTTTAATAGTTCCGCCTTAGATCAACTGGGACCAGGTGGAAGAAGGTAGTTCCATATGTCCAAGAACAAAAGATGAAGCGGACGCAAGGCGAGTATGTGAGAAGCTGGATATTCCCTTCACCACTGTGAACTTCGTCAAAGAATACTGGAGCGAAGTTTTTGTGTGAGCATGTTGCACTCTAGTATGACTCAAGGTTTTATCATTGTGTTTGAGAAAAATGCTAGAGAATTATCGCCGTGGAAGAACTGTGGTGCCGGACATTGCATGTAATAGCCATATCAAATTTGAACACCTACATCATCACGCAATCGAAGAGCTTGGAGCTGATTTTGTTGCAAGTGGGCATTATGCAAGTACCTCCAATGGAGACTATCAAGAGAAAAGAGGATATGACCAGGGTCAGCGTCGCTTTAATAGAATAATCTATTATCATTTTTTACTCTTCTGTGTGGAGAAAAAATGAGCATTTGCTAATCTCTTGATTTCCGACTCTTTGAAGGGGCACATCTTCGCATGATTTTTAAGAATCTTCTCCCATACACCTCCTGTAAAAGATTTCGATATCCAGCAGTGAATCATAGTGGAGTGCCCTAGGAATTCATCGCGAAATGTTCCAAAATGGTCTGATGGGTATAAGAGTATGCAAATGGTTTGCCCATTTGTAAATAACCGACAAAATTCGAAAAATTTCGTGCATCTCGCAAATATCCGTGCTATAAAAAGAAGTTTTTCGAAGCATGATTAGTATTAAGCCCATGAAAACTTTTATGGCTATCACCAAGATTTTGTAGATTTTATTCACTTTTTCAAAGAACTAGGTAAGGCCAAATTTATGTACTCAAAAAATCTATCCTATTTAGACCCTTCTCCTCAAAAAGATATTTTTGCGAGAGCCGCTAATATGTATCAGCCGCTCGTTATTCAAAGCGTGTCACCTTGTCCAGCTTCTAAATCTCGATTTATTGTGCCTGTGCAATCACTATGAATCGCTACTGTCTTTTCGACAGGTATTCGGCTGCTCTGTGGGATCGATCCAATCAAAGACCAGACATATTTTCTAAGCACTCTACGCCAGGAACAGCTTAGGCGAGCTATATTTCCTGTTGGATCTATGACCAAAACGAAAGTACGTCAGATAGCTCGAGAACAGGGCTTTGATGACATAGCAGATAAGCATGAGGTACATAACGCTTAATAGATGCTCCCTTTCCGTATTGGAATATGCTGCATGTTTTCAGAGCATGGGAATTTGCTTTGTTGGAAAAAGGAAAAATTTTGAAAAGTTCGTAGACCAGGTCCGAGTTCCTTCTTGCCTTCATTGCTTTCATACCCCAGTACATTACAGTATATCGAACCAAAGAAAGGTGAAATTGTAACCCTAGATGGAAAGCGACTAGGCCAGCATGATGGCATTCATCACTTTACGCTGGGAAAGCGCATACACATACAAGGATGTCATCTCGGATACTTTGTGTCTAAAATTGATGCTGAGACTAACACGGTTTATGCGGTCAGTTCCCTGGAAAGAAATACTTGTCTATGTGAAAGAAATTATTATTTGATTACCTGTGGATTCAGTGTGAAGGGTCCTATCATCCTTCTCTGTACGCAACGGATTTTTGTGTGGTGGAACCAGAGTGGATAGAAAGAAATCCTTTAGCAGGTATGAAATTCGCATTCGTGCAGTTGCATCAATATTGAGTTTTGACGTTAAACACCGTTCACCCAAGTTGAGATTGGTGAGATTAATGCCGCATAAGCGGTACCCCTAACAAGTGATTGCTCAAGTCCCGCTGCAAAAAGTGAATTTTGATGCGAGAAAATTTCTTGTGTAGGAGCGGCCCAAGCGGCAACGCCCATCAGCCAGATTGGCTCGTGTTAGGATTGCCAAGTCCTTAATTTCTTATGATTATCTGATTCGACATTTGTATCTACCCTGGAGCCCGATTTTGGACTTACGATCTTTAGACCACCCACGTTGATAGGCGGTGCCGCATGCATCGCATCTACCTTCTCGAGTGATTTTTTCGCTTCGGGAATTCAATTGCAGCGCGATTACTTAGAAGTCTCGCTATTATACGGCATCAGGATCTCACCAACTTCGACGAGTCGGCGCGCCTTTAGGTGCTCTACCTAGATATGCGGCATTTCACATTCGAAAGTAAATCATAATCATTTACATAAATAGTCGCCGGAGGAAGGAATATTTCGGGCGCAGATGTCACAACGCTTGAATGTCGAATACAACGCACACATCCTCCAGTACCATGTCAAGTCACAAGAATAGCGGAGGAGCTTTTATCAGTCCGACCAGTCTTTCCCTTTCGAGCAGTGGCTAATGGGCAGGTATACTTCTAATGCATGGCCTATGGAAAATTTTGCGTGAGCAGCTTTACTTCAATTCAGATGTGCGTATTTTACGACGGCAGAGAATGCCTTGGTGGTGGGGAAGTGGATCATATAATATCGACCTTACGCTACAAATAGATTTTTCATCTTTATGCCTTTTGTACATATCGTTTTCCTTGATTGGATAAAGTTGTAATATTCGCCATATTGTTGAGGTGACGAATTAATAATGTTCACTGGGACGTCATCTGCTAGAAAATTGAGCATTTTATGAGCCTGTTGCTCCTTCCTTCTCAAGCGTTTGGCTCTAAGCGTTGGGAAGGTTACAAAGAAAATTGTAGCATCTCATAGTATGCATAACCTTTGATTCAAGTGGCTTGGCGGCTGGGAGGCGGGGCTTTATGACCTTGTTAAGGCCGCTCGCCCCCGCTACGCAGTCTGCGTCTCTCCCGCGCCCGTGCTTGCTGATCATTACCTAGAATTAATTGGGTCACGAAACCCCGCCTCTGAACCGCCAAGCCAGTTGAATCAAAGGGTAACTAATGCTGCTCAATGACTCTTTTATACTCGCAAAAAATGAAAATTTTTCTGAATTTTTCGAAAAAATTGAACTAGCCTTATGAGTTTTCTCCTGAAATTTTGGGGTTATACGAGCCGGCAAAAATTCAGGAAGCACCTCAAAGAGTTTTTCGGAGGTGTGGCCAACCACGCACCTTCATTTCGAAACAACTATTGTTCCTCCGCGAATTGAAAACCTGAGACCGCCGTAGAACGACTCGCACAATCAGCTTCCTGCGTTTGGGTCCTTTAATTCAAATCCTATAGTATACCTGCCAAACCACACAGGAAGACGACTCTAAACGAAAAGAGTAAGGTATTCGTAATCAGATGTCCTTAATCTAAACCGTCCACTCAAATCTATAACTTTTGCCCCTTACCGTACCCTATCCACCCACCCTAACTCCAGAAAAAGTTCCACCATGCCAAAGGCGTGCGACAGTCGGCAAACAAAATACCATCTTTGGCCAAATTTGAGAAAATCGATGACTTTTAGCGCCAAAATCTCGTCTAACTTTACCCCTGAATCCATGAAATTTCGGACTGAAAGGAATGCAAGCAAGGGGCAGCGCTTTCAAGTCCAATTGAGGCAAGCTCCTCAAAGAAAGGACGATATTTATTTACCGCGAAAACTTTGCCACGACAAAACGTTGAAGGCGCTGGATGGCTGCCATGGACCGCGGCGAAACATTGCGCTATTCGCAGAACAAGCCGAGCGGGACATTTTCAAATTCAAATTGTTTCCAAATCCGGCTTTTTACGTGCTGTTCACGTCAAGTTCCAGATACTGTTTGTTTTGAATGTAGCATTTATAAGCAATGAAAATCCAATTTTACAATCTCTCGATTCATCTGCTTGAATATCTTTGTTGTTTCAGTCGATTTGGTGCCTCAATTCATAAGTTCTAGGCACTTTTGTCTGATTGATTCTCAGCTCATTTATTGGATTGAGAGCGAATCATACGCAATTATGAGAATGAAATGGTTCTTAAATAGAGTTATCTTTTGCAGCATTCAACTTCAAAACGAGTGCACATTGTATTTTATCTATTTTCTTGCTTTGTTTATTATCATTTGTTTATGCGTTATTTCTGAATCGTTTGGAAAAACTTTGGGAGAAGGGATGAGAGTGTGAAAAAATTTAGAAGAATGAGTACTAACCCGACTGACGACCACAAGTTTGTTTCACCAGTGGCTAGACCTACTTCGCCACCGAAAACGGATGAATCGTTCGAAAAGCAAGCTGCAGACGCTAAAGTAAATGTTTTTTCATCCAAAAGTTCATTGATATATTTATTTTTGCAGGCTGTCGCTGCTGCAAAGAAAGAGACGCCAATCGCTGTGCGTACTCGTCGTCACTTCCAACAAGAACTACATATGAGCTCACCATCTGATGCACAGTTGTCTCCATGTACGACTAAACTGTTTGGAAAAGGAGGGAAGAAGGTATGTTCAAGAATTTTGATCTGATGCTTATGAAAAACTAATTTTACGGTGTAATGAAGTTCGATACCATAAAAGCATTAGGCTCTGCTGGGAGTGCGTGCCCCTAGAGCGTATTCCTTCCTTTTTATCACCAAAAACTCCGAGTTGCTAGACTTTCACTGGGGCACTTTTCACTATTTACAACCGTCAACTCTTGACAGTTTTTGAGAATGCAGTTATCGGTCATTTGTAATCGTATCTCAGCCTACTATGGAATTGCGAAGTTCCTCAGAATGTTAGGGACCACTGTAAATCATCGTTATACTCGTTATCATCGTTATGTATCCCTAAATATTTGCTCTGACCAAATAATATTGTATGATTTCTTTTGCGAAATGAATACTAGAAGTGCATTCGATGGCATCAACGCCTTTTATTTGGAGTCTCGAGAGGCTACAATTTATTGCGCTAAAAGTTAGTTTTGGTATTGCACAATATGTTCAATAATGAGTTCTTGGCCAAAAGTTGCACCCGAGATGAGGGCATTGTGGCAATTTGGGGCAGTGCCAGGCTTTCCTGCTTAGCCGCTTTAGTCACTTCGATGATTGGTCAAATCAATATTTGACCAATAAGCGAGGGATGAAATTGCTTGCGGGTAAACCTGGCGCTTGCCTGAGCGCATGGCGAAGTATGATGGGCCCTCAGGAGTAATTGAACAGAAATATGATAGAAGAAGATTTTTCACCTACACTACGCAATGTGTGATTGATTTAGATGACGAGTGGACCGACGGCGATCCTCAGAAGTAAGCAACAAAATGCGATTCCATTCAACTTGAATGAATAGATCACTGAAATGTAACTTTTCTTTCTGCCCAATGTAGATGCTGTCTATAATCGCTTATCCCTGTACTTGTCATCGTGACCTTTTGTGATATCACTAAATTCATTTCCTTGACGTATCTTTTTTTACTTATAAAAAACTACTTACATTTGATTGTCGTAACAGATTCTTGTATTTTTGTAATGTTCAATCTTTTTCCAAATAAAACTATAGGAAAATGCCTCGGTTTTGAGTGAGGAAAATGTTGAAGGGTGTGTATTCTATGTTGATGGAGTAAAAACAAAAACAAAACGGATATCAAACAACAAACCTTTTGTCACGGTCCAGATTTGTGTTTATAGTTTTATTGCCTCAAGCAAGTCATTGGTATATTCTCGCGAGCACCTCTGATCAGCGCGCTTAGCTCGTAAGCCACAGAATCGTCAATTTTGAATTCGTAAGGCCCTGGGCACACCTCTCGCGATTTCGGTCGCCACGCTATCTGGCCATTTGCCAAATCTCTTCAAACCCAACACTCGCAGGCCACAGTAAGTCGACACAATGTGCCATCTTCCGAGTACTCAAACTGAGTTCGCAACGGTCAGCAACTGGAATGATATCCACGAAAGTCCATAATGGAGGAAAATGGGCCTTCAAGCCCCTTTTTATTCGTTCGCGGTAGAAACTGGTCGGAATCTGTATTCGCTAGCGTTATCTAGAAATTTTTATCTCATCGCAACCACGAGGCAAAGCGGTGTGATGAAAATGATTTAACCCTACCTGAGCTCTCATTTGCGAAAGAATCATGCGAAAAGTCCATTTAGAATGGGGCAAAATGGGATTTACTTCCATTTTAAATGGACTTGAAAGCCCATTTTACTCCCAGCAGCAAAGTGAGATGGGACTAAGCCCATTTCTGGGTGTATGTCAAGAGGCGCGATTTTTATTGCCAGCTGGACACCAAATAGCACATGATAAGTGTTCTGCAAGTTTCTAAAAGTATATGAAATTTAAAAGACGATATATTAGATAGTTGCATGAGTTGTCAATCTTGATACTCTAGAAAAAATCCAATAGAGCAATTTTGAAGGTCAAAAACTCATGAAAATGCATTTCAGAACAAATTCGTAAATATTTCAGTTCGATTTATAGCAAAAACCATGAAACTCAGAAAGTGGTGACCTCAGACAGATAGTAAGCTAATGCACTTTATCTGGTAATTTTTGAAGACTCGCACAGCACTAAACTGAAGTTCTAAGTTGATGACAGCCGGAGGAGTCGCGCCTCTTGACCGTCTCCCCCCATTTCTAACCTTGGTAACAAGTGAGTGGAAAAAGTTTCCTGTTTTTTATGAAGTCAGAAATAAGTGTTTCTTTCTAAACTTATACAAATGTTATAAAAAACATAGAAGAAGATCAAATTGACCCAAATATTCGCTAACAAACCCAATGCTTTCTAATATCAGGTCGGTCAGAAAATTCTTATGTATATCAAATAAAGTTTGTTAACTCTTCAAATCATCAACCAAAACAAATTCATGATTTGTAATCTTACCGAAGTGCCGCTAGCTAGCAACAGAAATTCCGTGAAAATTTTTTTTACTAGCATTAGTCCATACATTCAACTGCTTAGATATAAATATTAGTGCTGAAAGACAAAGAAAAGTTAATGTAGAGCACTTGCGAAGTCATCTTTTGAGATTCGTAGTTTTTGCGACTTGAAAAACCCTTTGTGTGGTAGTGTAGTACAAGATTTTCTATAAGATGAGGATTTTGGTTCACAGATTGCAGTGCAATTCCAGCCAAAGTTTGCTTTTTGCAGAAAGCTCTACATACGAATTTGATTTAATGCAGATTCATAGAAGTCTCCGAAAGCGAAGGCCCGGGTACCATATGAATTTTAGTCTTGGAAGCGATTTAGACGCATAGCCATCGATAATGAATGACATTCTATGAGGTGTAACGAAATGTTAAAGAATAGAATATCCATTTGAGTGACATTGTAATGTTAGGTCAGCCTAGTTAGATATCGACCACATGGTGGAAATGAGTTTGCAAGAGTGAGCAAACAGGTTGAGACAAGTTGGAGAAAGGTTTGTTGAAGCATTTTTGTATGGAACGAATGGATTCGCGAATGCGATATCTTATCGCACCGCATGGACTAAATCCATTTTATTCGCACGAAAAGCCCATTTCGCGGGGACTTTCGTGGATATCATTCCTGAAGTATTGCCAAGTCGAGTCGCGACTGAAATCGCGTGAGGTATTCCCGGGGATTAACGCTCCCCCTGCCTGTTTCTCATTTTTCATTGCACGCATGTAATAGCTAGGCGGCAAGCTCTTACACAGTGGGGTAAATGCACTGCGCGCTGCTGCCATCTAAGCTTTTCAGCACATGAAAACGGCGGAAATTATCTTTTTCCGAAGTCTTCCAGATCCGCATCCAGTGAAAATATGAAAGTCTTCCGCGACCCGCCTCCCTCGTTCCGGGCCCCGAGCACTTGCACCTAATCCCACTGAATTCGGGCCTGGAAATCTTTGGAAAAAGCGTTTTTGCTATACTTGCACTGAAAAGCCTAGATATGGATTTCTAACGGCGAGAAGTCTCCGAAAAGGTGAAATCTGGAAAACTAAATTCTCCAGAGACACTGCCTTCAGGGTTTGAGGATTGCTGAGAATAACGATTCCAAAAATGAATTAGGTACTTTTCCGTCATCTGCATAACTTCCAAGCATAGGTCCGATAAGTTGAGAATGACTCCTCCAGGGAGGGGTACAATGGTCGCAGCCCCTCCAAAGTAGGGTGTTTCACTTAATCGAGAAATTATGAAACGACTCGAAGAGGAGGGGGGGGGTGGTGTTCTTTCACCATTTTTCCTAATCAAAGTTTATTATTTTCAATTCTTTGCCATCATTGGATGTCTTTTTTCAAAATTATGAAGATTGAAGTAGGATTGAACCACCCCGTTTGTTGAAAGGAATAGAATATGTTCATGCGAAAACATTTGTTCCGGGAAAGAGGTAGACAGTTGTTTAGCATTTACAAATTTTTGGGAAAAAAATTTTTTTTATAAATGAATAGCAACGTCAGCAAGGAAATTATCTTCGGAACCATCTTCCCCCGCTCCCAGAAAATATGTATCATCGGCTCCCAGATTCGTGTGGAGGTGGAGTCTTGCCAACTCACCCCGTGGCGGTTTTTGCTAGCGAGAGATTACGAAAAGCTATGCTATGACGTGGAGGTTTAGCAAGTTTACATGTGTTATCAGGCAAAGTCTGCAATACACCTCCACACGAATCTGGGAGCCGATCATAGTTTGGCTGGGCTCCGTTGAACAAAGTCCCCGGTCAAGGGTGGGTGAGACTTTTATAATGGGAGTTCTCAAGTAGACGTCTTTTTGCAATGGTGAAAAAGCCTCCACCTGAGAACTCCCATTAAAAGTCTCACCCACCCTTCACAAAACACATTGACCCTAGACAAGCTATAAATTGTGAAAGCGGAGGATAAGATGTTCCAATGGTGACCATCATGGCGTACAAGATATTCATTTACAAAAGTTACGAATTTTTGTTATAAAAGCTTGTAATTATTCAGAAATTACTACCCACGCCCTCCACCAGGTACTTTTTTCAACAGACTCCAGGCAAATTTATACTCTCTGGAAGCGGAAAATAAGACGGTTCCAATGGTGACCATCATGGTCTACAAGATGGTCTTCTAGAGGAACTATCAATTTTTTGTCTTAAAAACTCGTGATGACCCGGAAATCACTTACTGCACTTTTCACCAGACATTTTGATGTAAAAACACTAGGCAAACTATACATTTTCTGGAGGAAAACAACGTTGTCCTGAGAACACCTTTTTCGCGACGTTAGTGTTCATCTACAGATGTTCTAATTTTTTTCTTCTTCTGAAAGTCCATGAATACTTATAAGTCTTTCTCCTTCTTTCCGATACACAAAGAATTTTAGTTTGAATAGCTTCTGTGCTATTTTTAAACAAACTTTTTCTTCCTGCTTTAACGTTGATAACTCTTGATACTTGTTATTGTCAAACTTCTAGAACAATGTTTTACCCATGTTACAATCTCGTCATGTATTAACTTACCATAGTCCGCGCTCGTCATATTGCCCCTCTTCATAGAATCATAGAGCTTAAAACACTGAGAGAAGGACATAGGACATAACTAAGTCAGCTTGAGTTATTTCACATATTAGTGTGGAGCTAGAGCGAAGAGTTGAACAGTCGTACTGCTGCAAACGCTAAGCCTGCAGAAATCTCAAATGAAGACTGGTTTATCGTTCAATAACTGTTCATAGAGCCGTCCTTGGACATAAACGGAGGAATGGGAGCCACATTTACTTGGCGCAGTTCTTGATCGTAGAGCACGCAAGATGGTTAACAGCTGTGGCGGTTTTATCAGCCATAACTTAACCTCACGTTTGATTTTTTTCCTAACATTGGTGAAGGGGGTTACCGTTGGTCTCGGGGTCAAAGGGGAGTAAGCAAATTCTCACGCTATCGCACTTATGCTTCCAATTGATCGGGAAGTTTTGTAAGTTGTGCACTTAGTTTGAAGTATTTTTTATAAAACCATCAGAATTGTTTTTAAGAGTAATTTAGCGAAAGCGCAGGCATTTGAGTTCTTCAAAACTGAATTTCAACCTAGGAGCCTTCCTTTGGTGAGTTTTCTGCCGCTTTCCTTTGTGAAAGTAAGAGAAAGAGTTATTCGAAGCAGTAAATCTTATCGAGAATAGAGTTCCTCATTAAATTTTGCGACAATCAGCTGCGACACGAATACCAGAGTAAACACTTTCAAAAACGCTTTCAAACGATTTTTCATCAACTTTGCGAGGTGTTTGCAGAGAGGAGTTTTTGTTCTAGCTAGATGTCTTACTCTGGGAAGCGCCACCTTATGCTTGTTTCTGCATGAAAAGTCAAGATTTTCCGAAGATAAGTGCTTAAGAACAGCTCTCATCAATAATTCAGCTTTCATCATTAATTGAATGATTGGCTCTTGCTCTTAGAGACATTGATGCCACGTTAGAATATTATCTCATGGATACTATTTGTAAGTTTTAGCGAAAATCTGTTTAGAAACGTCTACTTTGGTAAGATATTATTTTTGCTGATGGGGAAAAGTGAGTAACTGGGTTTCGCTAGTGAATTCGCTTTCCAAAAGTCATTACTCCAGGAATTAATCCGTTTCGTAGGGAATTTTCTTGATGAAAAACCTGCTCAAGCAGCGTTTAGTTGCAAAAATCTCGTTTTCCTCCTGAGTAAGTCTGGGGCCTACCACACCACTACGCCATTCTCCCCGGCATCAAAGGCAGTGTTCCGGCAAAATTTCATTTTCAAGTTTTTCACCTTTTCGGAGCCTTCTCGCCGTGACGAATCAAAATTTGGGCTTTTTAGCGCATGAAAATGGCGAAAATGGGTTCTTTCCGAAGTTTTCCAGGTCCGGCTGCAGTGGAAGATACATGTGGGCGGAGTCCGGAAAAGGAGGCGGGGTGGGGAGGAGTTCTGGTGTATTTCCACAGAATGTGAACCCTAAAGACTCATTTTCGCCATTTTCATGTGCTAAAAAGCCTTGATATGGATTCATTATTGCAAGAACGCTCCGAGTAGGTGAAAAACTGGAAAGCGAATTTTTGTCGGGACGCTGCCTCAAACCTACGTCTGCAATATTTCAATTGCAACTTCTCCAGAAGAGGAAGTTTTTTACTGAAAGCATACGCAGACAGAGCTCGCTGTGGGCGTAACGTCATTTTAAAGTAGTTAGAGTGATAGAGTGACACTGGACACTGGTTTTATGCTGGACCCAGAGCGAAAGGCTGCACCCACACACTTACAGGCAGTCAAAGGTCTTTTGCTGGGAAAACAATGAAAACTTATTAATTGTATGAAGTTGTCGAAAAATAACAAACAATTTGATCACCAATAATTTGAGACTTCACGAAGTGTTAACTGATGTGCTGAGAGGTAGGCTGTTTTTGCAACACAAAAAGCTCTTTCAGGATTACTTTCTGTTCTTTTTCATGATTAGACCCTGATTGGACCTCAAACTTGTTGCCCCCAACTCGGAGCTTGAAGGCACCGTCCACTAAAGTTGACGGTGATGAAATTTTGATGCTACATCATAAAAGGGCCCCTAACTAAGCAATCGCCCAAGTCCGCTGCTAAAAACGATTTCCAAGAGGAGGAAACTAGAACAAGTACAACTTGGGCTGCATAGTAGACAGGAAGGTCGTTCGATGTTCATAATGAAGAGCGAAATACCTACCAATTCTGAAGACAGTAAAGCCCAAGTTGGCTTTGTTATCTTCTGATCATCCAGGTTGATGGCGGAGCCGCGTGGCTGCTTCTATCCTCTGGAGAGGTTTTCCAAGTGGACTTATCTCCTGCTGTGAGACTTGGGCGACAGTTTAGTTAGGCCCCACCATTACAGGTTGGTCGTGCGCATTAGACTTTTCGTAACTGTGTTAGGACTCAATGAATATAAAAATTTTGTTTTTACGTGATAGGCAAGAAAATTCTGTATAGGACCCTAGAATAGGACCTTATTACTTCTAAATCACCCGCGTCCTGCGTTAGTAAAAGCTTTATTCTTTTAGAACAATTTTCACTATGTGCGCAATGGTTTTTGGCGAAAGTTCGTACCGGGAGCTCATTTGAGCAGAACTAGTGACTTGGATTTCAAAGAGCGGGCTTTTTGCTTACAATTAGACCATGTAGAGAATTATTCATGCAACACTGTCTGTTCTAATGTGGCCCACATGAGATTTGGCGGGCTGCGAAAAGTCAATTTTGGAGCTCACAAATCTCCGCGGTAGTCTTGCTTCACCTAAAGTTTGATTTCGAAATATTAGATTGTCAAGAAAATAATGTAGTTTTTTAATTGCTTGCTTTAACAAAGCAACCAGACTCAACCCAGCACAAGATCAGGGATACTGTTCGATAGAGCAAAAGCTCTACAAGAAGGCATTCATGATTTTTTGCCAAGTTCGATCCACGGAGAGTTCGAACTCAAAATCTAAAAATTTCCAAATGCCCAAAAAATCGAAAAAAAATCAGGTCTTCGTTCAAATAATTTCTACGGACCTCCCATCTGCTCACTTCAATACTTTCGATATCCGATATCCAAATGTGCGACTGCTGTATTTTTTCCTTGACTAGAAACTGAGAAAACGAAAATTTCCCTAATTTTCTCAAAGCAATGCTGAGCCGTTTTTGCATATGTAGTTCTATACTACCAGCCTTGGTGAGCATAACTGTAGGTCAGCCTATTTCGAGCGATACTTTTCGAGAAATGTCGATTTTAGCACTGAAACTGAAAAGTAAAAATCCGAATTCGATATTTTTCGAAAACTACCGCTTGGAATGGGCTGAAAACCTACAGTTATACTTACCGAGGCTGGTAGTATAGAACTACATATGCAAAAACGGCTCAGCATTGCTTTGAGAAAAGCAGGAAAATTTTCATTTTCTCAGTTTCTAGTCAAGGAAAAATACAGCAATCGCATATATGGATATCAGATATCGAAAATATTGACGTGAGCGAGTGGGAGGTCCGTAGAAATTATTTGGACGAAGATCTGATTTTTTTCGATTTTTTGGGCATTTGGAAATCTTTAGATTTTGAGTTCGAACCTTCTGTGGATCGAGCATGGCGCAAAATTATGTATGCCATCTTGTAGAGCTTGCTTTGCTCTATCGAACAGTACTCCTTCCCCTTTGTTGGGTTGAGTCTGTTCCCTTTGTTGAAGCAAGCAAATAAAAACCGACATTATTTTCTTGACAACCTAACATAAAAAATCTCAGATACGCAAAAAATCGTATCTTTCTCCATAGACGTCTTAGTGACCTCCAATTGGCACAGGCATGTACTGCTCCACATTGGACATTCGCCTGTATAGTTTGTGGTATTTTTTCATGGCTACAGTAGGACAGACATAGGACAAAAGTGCGAGCATGTCGCGTTTTTCGGGATTTTCGCAAACAATTTGATTTTTCTCGAAAACTAGCGCTTGTCTAAAGCTGAAAATTTATGATTATACTCCCAAAGGTTCATACTACGGAATCACCCATTTGAGAGAAACTCAGGATAGCTTGGCAAAAATATGCCAAATTTCGTTTTCTCATTCCAGCCATGAAAAAATCGCAAAGATGTGCACACGAGTGTCCCGTGTAGTGAGTCCATGCTTGAGCAAGTTAGGGATCCCAGGACGTTTCCGGACGGAGATACGATTTTTTTCGTCTGTTTAGATCTTTAGTGCCTTACTAGCTGGCTTTCCCGGCTCCGCCCAGCCTTTCAAACACTATGACAAAGGTCCCATCCCTATCCACGTACAACCTTCCCCTGTGCCCACTTTTACATGCCAGTTCCTTATTCCCGCGTGTTAGTGATCAGCATGCTCGATTACCCCGTGCCAACTCCCAGCCTCGTAGCTCAAACTTTGCAAAAAAATCGATAAAATCGATAAAAGTAGTGGAGATTTCAAAAACTAATCTTGTATTCGTAATCAGCATGCTCGATTACCCTCCTGTGCCAAATCCCAGCCTCCTAGGTGAACTCTGCAAAAAACTTGACAAAATTGATAAAACCGATATCGATTGATGACGAAAAGTAGCCTATGACACCGCCGCGCTCCGAAGTGTATGTGTGCCAAGTTTGGTCCGGATCGGTTTAGAAAGAAATCTTCTGTTCGAGACATACGTACAGACAGACAGACAGACATACAGACGACAGACAAACAGACATTCACCTTTATATATAAGATAAAATTTGGCTCCAAACTTCACGCAAATCAAACCTGGCGTGAAGGCTCGAGCTTCATTCTTTGAACTTGTATTGATCTAGCGGTTGGTACCCCACTTACTTACTTTCGTGCTCACTTACACTGTTGCGATATTGCATGATAAAAAACGCTGCAACATTACTTTCCGGACAACTTAATAGTTCGATTCGGTCAAGCTTGAAGGTTTATTGACGGCAGTCGCAATGGCAATAGTAATTTTCGAAATTCTAAAAAAAGCATTGGAAGCAAACTTTGCAGGGTTTTGGTACTATCTTAAGTTAAAGCAAACACTATATGCGCCTTTTGAAAATTTTTGGATGCTTATTCACCAATTTACAGCGAAAAAAAGAAACTTTGGCTGTGCAAAAGTCATCATTCAGCCACTGAAAAGAAATAATGTTTGGTTTTCTAACTCGCCCATTTTGAGCCCACCTATACTATTCTCTTTTTGAATCCATGTCATTTTAGTTGCTAAGAAAGGGTGGTGAGAGTTTGGGACCAAAAACTACTGCGCGCAATCAGATTTTTTGAAGTGATTTGTAAGAGAATAAATGCTTTTCACAAGGCTAGAAGATATCACAAAAATGATCTAAAAAGTCTTACATAGAATTTTCTTGTCCGTTTGAAGTTGAAAACTTGATTATAAGTCCTTGCAAAGCTAAAAAAATTTCCTTGCGTCACATTTCATGTGGACCACCCCGTATATAGCATTGAAATCTTAGCTTGCATACAACATAAATGTGAATTATACTACATTATTATATTGATACACATGTATGTTGATGTTGAAGATTTTGAAATGCTTTTTGTATGAGCTTTGCGTCAAATATGCTTGCTTCATGGTATAGATGTGCTACCACAAAGTCATAAGGTGACAGTAGTCCCGTCTGCATTTGTAACATGATTTGGCCTGAGATTAAAATTCTCAACTCTTGTGTACTGAGATCTTGCTATTTTGTCAGCATTCAGCAGCAGAAAAAAAGAAACATTTTTCACTCTTTTCTTATTTTAAAGCGAGAATTTTCAAAAGTTTCCAGTCCAGACAGTCGGTAAGCGACAGGCTGTATATCGACAGGTTTATTGATGACTTCAACTTGACCAAACGTCTGCTAGAGAGCTCTCCTTACAATGAAGTTATAATCAAGCTTTCACAGTTCGCAAGTCTATCCTTGTGTGTTCTCTGCCTCGCGCTGATCCTTTGCATCTTTTGCAAACGTAGTACTTCATGGGCCTATCACATCTAAAGCTGTTCCAGTAATATTCTTGAACGTGTGTCAGGTTTGCTGGCCTTTGGTAGAGCTGGAAAAATCTAGAGTGAACTGAAGGAAGAATAAAAAAGTGCAAAAATAGTAAGAAAAATTTGCACAAATGTTACCTGCGCGCATTTTTCCCCATCGGAATGATTTTGTTGATTCACAGCCCATTTCTGATAATCCACTAAACTTCCATCCACCCATTCCCATTGGTTTTGCGAATTCAGACGAAGACCGATCCAAACAAAATCTTCAAACGATTCAACACGACTGCCGATGGATGTGATTTCTGCAATTTCCACATTTATGTGGAAGTAACTTCGGCAAACTGTTCAGTGGAAAAGTAAAAATAGTCTACTATGAATGAAGTTGTTTTCCGGTTCGCTGTGTATGGAAACTAGATGAGCATCAAGTTTTTGACATGCCGCCTCCGCGCTATCATAAGTCCTTGCATTTCTTTTTACCTAGAGAGTTAAAGTTTAGTGAAATCGATGAATGATTAGTACGTACCATATACTCGCACGTTCCAAACTTCAGCCACTTGTCGAATTGTAGACTACCTCCGGCTGCGATGCTTATGCTATCATGTGAACTGTCTGAGGGCTTAGTTTCACCAGATAAATGGTTTCCGCGCGACTTGTGGCTTCGTGATAAAGGATATCTCATCTTGCTGTACACAAACTTCTTATGAGCAGGCATTTCTAGGCGTCCAGCAAAATCTCTTTTCGGCCTGAGATCGGCATTCACATTTTCAGCTGGATTTGCGTGAAAAATTCCACTTTCGCCTCCACCATATCTAGCTTTATGTGATGAAATGTCCCTCTTCATTCGAAGCTTACAACCGCATCCTTTGACTACACGTCGTTTAGGTGTTGGAGGACGTCTCACCTTGCTTGGAACTCTTTTATGTGCTATAATTGGGTGTCTGACAATTCTTGGCTTAGCATGTACTTTCACTGGTTTCGGTGCGCGATGTACTATATGTGGGTGTGTGATAGTTTTTGGCTTAGAATGTACTTTCACTATTTTCGGTGCGCGATGAATCACATTTACAGGCCGAGAGGTGTGCTTCTTCAATTCGAAATGAAGATGCGTCTTCTCTTTCTTTAAGATTCGAATGTTGTGGCGAAGTTTTCTATTAACTGCCAGGACATCGTTCAGTGGCATTGGCTTTTTGATGCGCTTCTCATGCGCAATTTTTGGTGCTGGTCTTTTGACAGTTTTATCAATTTTAAGCCCAGATATACGTACGCGCCCACCGTGACCGGTTTTAGGCTTAAGACTCACATGCTTGTTCATGCGCGCTAGTTTTGCACGACAAATCTTACACATACATTGTGTGAGTTTATGTTTAGGTGATGAGGGATGTTTCATCTGGCTAGATTTGACTATCTTAGGTCTAGACAAATGTGGGTGCTTGTCACGATTCGGTTTCATGGTTTTGATTGGCCTAGGGAAGGGTATTTGACCGTGAACACGTATTTTTGTGCGATCTTCGATTCGAATATTGTAGACTTTGTGCGGTTTCCTCGTTGGTTTCTTGGGCTTGTGCACATGAGTTGGTCTTTTGGTGCATTTCTTATGAGCCTTTTCTGATAAGTTTAAAATATTTCTTCCATGCCCAGGTACGCGCATACCTCTGTGAATCTTCTTTATCCTACGGCCAATCTTTACATTAGAAGTCGATCTTATATGATAGTCAACATTGATATGCTGATTCACCCTATAAATGGTTTTCTTGGCTATTTTCTTGTGCTTTTTATGCACATGTGCTGGCTTTTTGGTACCGTTCTTGTGAGCAGATTTATGAGGTGGTTTTCCGATCTTTTGCTGCCCAGATATCCGCACGCGGTTGTCAGTTATTATCTTGCGGTTCCTTACACCAGGTTCCAAAGGCTTTACTTGGTAACCAATATTGATATGCTGATTCACCCTATAAATTTTTGGTTTGTGTGTTTCCTTCACTGGTTTCTTGTGCTTTTTATGCACATGTTCTGGCTTTTTGGTACCTTCCCTGTGACCAGGTTTGTGAGGTGATTTTCCGACTTTTTGCTGCCCAGATATTCGCTCGCGGTTGTCAGTTATTATTGTCTTGTAGTCCTTTACATCAGGTTCCATTGTCTTTATTTGGTAATCAACATTGATAGGTTGATTCACTGCGTTTACGTCCGGCTCAGTTTTGCTCTCTAACTTCCCAGGTTGCTCGGTAACTTGATTATTGTCAGACTCGTCACTGACTGGCCCTTCAAAAGTCTGCGGTTGTGCTTCGATAGGGTTTTCTATTTCTGGTCCATAAGTTATTGGCTCTAACGTTGTAGTGCTGGTCACAACTGCAGACCCTCCAGTGGGAAGATCCGCCTCAGGTTCTTCCTCATGGGCATCTGCTTCAGGGGTAGTATCCTTTACTTCCTTGGTTATCTCATTGATGGTGAGAGAAGTTACGTTTGTTATCTTTGGCTTAGGTTCTATGGTTTCATGTGTTATATTGAATTGAACTTCAGGTGGCTCAACAATGTGGATAACTTCAGTAGGCTTTACATTGTATGGGCTTGTTTCATCAATCACTTGGAAGTTTGCTCCAGGAGCATTTCCTTGGATCGCTCCTTCAGTAATTCCATTTATAGTGTGGGTAATCACATCTGGTATCTTTGGCTGCAGCCTTATAGTCTCATGTTTTATATTGAGAACAATCTTTGGAGGCGGGGTCGCAACTTCGATCACGTTTACCGACCCTTCATTCTTGATTTCGTTGACGCTTACCCTAGGTCCATTATTCTGGTCTGCTTCTTGGGTAATTTCATTGATAGTGTGGGTAATCACATCTGGTACCTTTGGCTGAAGCCTTATGGTTTCATTTTTTATAATGAGTTGAATCTTTGGAGGTGGGGCCGTAACTTTAATCACATTCACTGGCCCTTCATCTTTGATTTCGTTCACGCTTACTCTAGGTCCAATATTCTGGCCTGCTTCTTGGGTAATTTCATTAATAGTGTGGGAGAATACACCCGATATCTTTGGCTTCAATTCCATGGTTTCATGTTGTATATTGAATTGAATCTTTGGAGGTGGGGCCGCAATGTCGAACACATTCGTAGACGGTTCAGCATGGACTGTTTTTTGTAGTTCAATTGGTATTGTACGGGTTTCATGGATGATGGTTGGAAGAGATACATCTGTTATTATAGGTTTCAGCTGTATGGTTTCATGTGTCTTTGAAGGTGGGGCCGCAATGTCGAACACATTTGTAGACGGTTCAGCATGGACTGTTTTTTGTAGTTCAATCGGTATTGTACGTGTTTCATGAATGATGGTTGGAAGAGATACATCTGTTATTATAGGTTTCAGCTGTATGGTTTCATCTGAGTATCGGATCTTTGGCGGCATTGTTATAGTGATTACATTAGGAGACTCAAGGGTGCGGACGCTTGCTTCATGGGGGAATTCTTGGGCATTTGCTTTATCCGTGATTACACGGGTGAGAATATCTTTGTAATCGGATTGCATTTGCCCTGCATCGAAGTTCAAGAAGAGTGCCAGCAATATAGGCAGCATCTCTGAATAGTAAATATTAAAAACGCAAAGCGGCTAACAGGGAGAAAAGACAATCAGTGTTAATCTAACATTCAACAACGATAGCATCTTCTGTATTTTTGAATCAAGTTCGAAAGCAGGGCTCGGCACGAGGTTGCTAGTTGAAATTGCAAAAAACGAGGTCCCCTTGACTTAATTTTTACTCCTCTTTGACCCTAGACCATAACCCCTAAAAAAATCTCCAAAAAACGAAAGGTCGACCAAAAAAAACGTCGCGAATCTGTGTCGTTTCGATCGCAAAAGCGAAACCCCCTTTGCTATTTGCCCCAAAAACGATACCCAGCTTGCTTACAAGCCATTTGCGCCGAGCCCTGTTCGAAAGTCATTTAAGATAAGAATTATAACCTCATGAAAGTAGAGCAGGTTCAATCGTTTTCTGTAAGAACTACTGTCATTAGAATGATTGTATGTGCATGTTGCCAGGAAGGTCGAGCGCAAAGTAAACTTTCAAAAACTCATAATTCTTCCAATCCAGCAAACTGAGTTCTGTTACATTTTTGGATCCATACCAACCTCCATTAGTTAATTAGCAGTTATAAATTATGAACCTCGGTAACACTGTTTTTTTGAAAACCATAAACTATAGTGATACTTTCTTGATGTTCATGGTTTTTGTGAGTTACTGATTGGTGCAAAACACTCAGGCTGAACTACTAGAGTGAGTCAGAAGTAATGAAAAGTTTACATATTTCAATGAGCCTATCCTTAAACCAGATAAAACTTCGAAAAAAAGATAATCTAAGCTGCATCCGACGCAGTTTTTCTTTCCTTTTCTGGCTTCAAATCCAGTCTTTTCAAAACACGAATAATAACGGGAGTTTTAACATAACTGCTATTGATATTCTACAGCTCTTTGCAAAAATCTTAGATTATGATATATTGAAGCGGTAAACGCTTTGTTGCCTTGATTAAAGTTTGTTAGTAAACGAGACAATACTCAACGACCAATAAACAACTTTATAAAGGACTCATTTTGAAGATTTTGTGTTGTTTCATTCATTTTTGTTTACGCATTTTCACAAACTAAAGCTTTATTTTTTAAGAATTTATTTCAAAATTCACAAAAAGTCAGTTTCTAATGACCTGGAAAGATTTAAACTAAACAAGGGCTTTGTTTTTATACGTTGAAGTCTCTCGAGACTAAAAAAGTTACGCAAGGCGAAAAACATGTGCTCAAAATTTTGGAAATTCTCATAGTAGTTTCATAGTCCGATGACATGCTGAAAAGTGGAGGGAGAGCTGCGTCTAACATAGTCTAAAGTGCCTAGTATGAGAAAATTGAACAAGAGAACGGTCAAGGTGAATCTCTAGAAAAGTGCAGTCTTTTTTCGTCTACGCGGATGTTGCACTCATATCATGCTAAGCTTGGATAACCAGGCCCATGTCATTTGACTAATCAATTTAAAGGGGAGACACGCAGAAGTGGGAAAGTTGAATTTTTTTGACACATAAGGGCGGGAAAAGTTGATTTATCCAAGTTTGGGCGGGGTGGAGCCGGGGTAAAACTTATCAATTTCGCAATTTCCAAATTCCGCAATCAACAAGTTTTACTTCCGAAAAAAGCATCGGTTAGATCTGAGAATTGGTTTTTTTGATAAGCGTGGTAGGCAAAAATTTCTGTATCGTTGTACAGGGGTAGCAAAAGTATATGCCCTTTGATTCAACTGGCTTGGCGGCTGGAAGGCGGGGCTTCGTGACATAATTGAGGCTAGATAATGAACAAAGAGCACGCGCGCGAGAGAGACTCAGATTGTTAGTGGGCGCGAGCGGCTTTGATTAAGTCACAAAGCCACGCCTTCCAGCCGCCAAGCCAGTTGAATCAAAGGTTATACACCGCGTGATCGTTAATATCTCTTTACTCACGGAATCTTTTGCCTAGTTCAAGTACCTTTCCTAAGAGTGCCTTCAACTTAGATTTACGGTATGAGCAATCGAGCGCTGTTTATCTGTGGGAATACGGTAGAATCTCCATCACAGTTGCCACTGTGAATTCATTGTTTCGAAAAAAAACACAGAAAAAACTGACGACATCGTAGCAGGTTTTCCAAGCCTGCTGATTTGATTGCTTAATCTTTCAAGAATTTTGATGCTTTTTAGATGGTTTAATCACATCTTTAAGAAACACTGGTAAAACAGTCGTTACGGTATACTAGGACTTATGCTAGAACTAACGGTGAAATGCGCTTTTCATACCTAGAATGAGCGCTCTGGTCAGCTTGGTGTAGAAAATTTCAGGTTACTTAAGACATCCTTCAAGTACCTATCGTATTTACAGTAATAAACAGAGATCGATATACTTCCCTACTGCATATTCAGCTTGTAGCTATTAGGCTGGATAGAAAGCTCTTGGACATTTTCAGATCAAATTTGTTATATTTCGTAATCTAATGCATATACATGCGCAAAAATTTGCAGCTGTACTCTCACATGCCTGTAGCTGAAATTTGAGCAAGTGGAAGGAGCCTGGGATCAATGGGGCGGAGTTTGCCACTTTTCAATTACCTCGTTTTTCTTGCTGTCTAAGCTCAAATCCCATTCGAAAACTGTCCATGTAAGTGTGTGTATACAGTTAATTGGAGCATGTGGGAGTTTCATAACATTTATAGAAGTCGGAGATCTGAATTAGGGCAAAAATGCTGTAGATTCGAATTTTGAATTTTCACTGAGAACAACGATAAGGCTTGTGCTTATTGTAGTTTTGTAGAGATTGCTTTCCTCTATTCAGTGGTGTGGAGCATGCCCCGATTAGTGCTTACATCGAAACAAAAACTTTGTCTAAAGCTGTGTCCCAGAACTTTATTTCCAACCTTATAGCTATACAGAACACTACCTACGTTCGGCAGAAGACCTTGGAAGATGAGATAATAGCACCAAACATTGCATGCGTACCTTTGAGACAGCCTGTAGAGAAAAACCGGCTGGCAAAGCTCACTACACTTCACCAAAAACATTTAATTTCTTGATGAAAGTTTTGTCATCTCTTCTTTACGAGTTAATTGGAGACATTCAAGAATGCGTTGAACAGAGCAAATGTATCTAGCTCTTGGTCAACAGCTAGACTACTTCGTCTTGTCGGTCATCAAATTTTGGCCATTCGGCCAAATGCGCCAAGAAATCCACAGTTGTGCAAAGTCAAATCACCTAACGAACGCTTTCTACTTGGAAGGTCACTAGTACATACGAAAATAGTTTGTCCGATTCGAAATAAGCTATTGGAAGGCTTCTGCTCGAGAAAGTTTTCTTCTTGATTTCAATGAAACACATGGGTGCGAGGAAGAAATCATTCCATATCCGAAATAGTTGTGAAGCGATCATAACAAAGTCGCTCATGAAGAGGCCTCAGCATTTTACCCATGGTCATACAAATTAAAAAGAAGGAGCTGTTTTTTGTGAACTGCCTTGCTGCTATCTCTGACTTTATTTCGCAGAAAAAAAGAAAAATGAAATGTGCAAGTTATCACACAGTTATTTTTAAATCCTCAGTGTGAGTATGGTTTGTAATATAGAACTAACTGTATAAGTAACTCAATTACTAGCAAGATAATAGCATCACAAGAATTCCAATTTGTTCTATCGAATCACTTTATGCTTTTTCTTGTTTTTTTCTTGCTAAAAGTGCTGTGGTAGCCACGGTAAATAGCATCAAAACACGAATATGCGTCGTCAGAAACAACTAAGTCTATTGCTTTCTGTAATTTATTACCAGCATATCACGAGGAGTTATAACGAAAAATATTTTTCTACATTTAACAACTTCAGAATTCTCCATCATTTCCATCCCTACGATTTGGCTTGCTGTAAAGAGAGGAGCTTTTTGATTGATAGCTGTGTCATGGGATTCTTCGGAACCTGCGAGCACGAAATGAATGCAGAAAACTGTTAATTGGCATTTTTACCTATTTTTTACGTTGTATTTTGGTTGCAAATTGACCTTATTACAAAAAAGTGTGAAGCAATTGCGAAAGCTGCAATGTAGAAATCTATAGATGTGTTGCAGCTAACGACATGAAGGCCTAGAAACTTCCGTTAGATTTCTTTTTCGAAAAAAAGATGAAGAAAGAAATCTTTGCATTTCGAGCCAATAAGTTGAATCAGAACCGTAAGGTTAAAAACGTGAAGTTATAATTTTTTGAAGTGAAGTAACAGAAACTAGTTGCCAATCAAACTTGAGACGGATGGGTCGATTACTCAGAACTCCTTTTGATGGGAAGCGAAATCCAGCAAAAAGCATACAACATTGCTTGCAGAACGTGCAAAATTTCCATGTCGCGGATTCTGTTCCGCGGAAGTCCGCGACGTTCCCGTTCCGCGACATTCACAAAATTTTGCATATTCTGTGAGCAGTATTGCAGTATGGTTTGTACTGTGTCCTGAATTCAATGCAGGATTTTCATATCACTTTTATCAAGAACAGTCATTCTTCTGTACATGAATAAAAAAGATTTACATTATTATGTTATGCTATCGTTACATTATTTATTATTCAAATAAAGATATACAAATAACGTCTGAGTCATGAGCAGGGTCAGGTCAGAGGTGTGGCACACTATCGCTAGATACGACCCCCTCCCCCCTAATTGCTATGTCAGTTATTGCACATTTATGATAACATGAAGGTCCCACCACACATAAAGAGTGACCTATCCATAATTGGCATGTAGAATAACCCCTGTGGGCCACGTTCAAGCGGATTCTGAAGTTCCCAAATATTGAGCAACCTGAGGAGTCACATTCGACTACCTCTTTTTGAACATAGTAGAAAGCACTAGTACCTTCTTTACTCATCTTAGAAATTCCGCTCCAAAAGATCGCCAAATTTAGAAGTAAAAGCAAGCCAAGATCTCGCTTGCCCATTTCTTCGCTTTAATGGCTATGCTTTCAGCAAATATCACTCAGAGCATAGAAAATGAGTCAGGCTCATCAGTCCTTTGAAAACTATACGTTATTCAGGCCGTTATTCAGGCTAAACTATTCAGGCCATCAAAATATGTAATCGTTAGAAATTTTTTTTAAAGCAGAGTTAATGGGGTGTTGCTGCCACACCTTTTTTTTGGGACTGCGCAACACCCCATTAACTAGGTCATAAAAACATTTTTAAATAACAATATCTATATGAATCGATAGCCCAAATCTCGTAGTTTCCATAGGAGTGATTTGAGCCGGATTTGTCTTTTCTGCTTTGAGTATTGTTCGTGAAAGCATACTCATTAGAAGCAAAGAATTAGAGGTACGAAATTTTGGGCTTCAGTTATACTGTTTTGCGGCTTTTGAAGCGAAATTTCTGTTGGCAAAGAAGGAGTAATGCTTTGTACTGAGTGCAGAGTAGTAGCTAGTTCATCTTCGAAACAAGTTTGATTATGTTCGAGAATGACCGTTTCACTTAGGTACCTATATCTGATACTATCTGATACTTGACAGTTCGCTCAAACTTGATCCACAGGTGTTGTTTGACATGCCAAATATGGATGTTACTCATCACGCTTGTTAGAACCGCTTTGTTATGCCACTACGGTAACGATGACAACTCTCACGTGCTTGTGGTTCGCATAACGGGGATATCTGACGAACTGCTTGCGAATAAATGTTATGCTATTACCAGTATTACTCGATTACGACCACTTCCCGTTTGGACCTCTCAATATGACCCCCCTCCCTCCCCTCCCCCTCCCCCCAGATGTGGCCTGTCACACCCCACGCTTGATCCTGGTTAGGAAAGCTGATTCATCGCTTGATGCTTGTTTGAAAAAATCGATTATCTCGTAGTGTTGAGTATATAGAGAACTCTGTCTGAAGCTTGAAAAGACGAAATGGCAAAAGCTTTCAAAAAAAAACACAAGAACAGTAAACTCCGCTACAAAGGGAAAATGATGCTTTTCCTTGCTACCGCAGCTCTTGTCTTATACCCTGTTTATTTCTTCGGCATTTGCATTTACGAACACATCAAAAGCACAAAATCGTTAAATTTTACAGTATTTCACACATCCGAATCGTTAAATCATTCATGATCACAACTGTTCAAAGGCTACAGAATAGAGTTCGCCTATAAAGTGTGTCCCAAAAAATGTATCGAACGTTTGATCGTTAATATCTCTCTTCCCAAATAGTCTTTTGCCTTGCTTCAGGTACCGTTTTGTAGAGCTGGCTTCAACTTAGATTTTCATTATAGAACGAATCACCCATCTCTCTTCATTACTGTAGAATTACGGTAGAAACTTGAAACATATGGTGCCAATGTGGAAAAAGCTGCCATTCCAAAATTTTTTAAACAATCCTGAAAACTCATGTTATAGGGTTTTTTATGGACGCTGAGTTCAATACTCAACTATTCGCAGGATTACGAAGCTTTCTAAACGGTGTAACCGCACTTTTTAGGAACATTGAAAAAATGGCCGCTACCTCTTACCTGGCATAACTCTTTGATGAAGCATCATAATAAGTTGGGAACTTTACAGTTATAATCAGCAACTCTAATTAGCCTAGTGTAAAAGCTTCCAAGCTGTTTTGTTTCCTTTCACAGGCAAAATATGGCCTTTCATTTCTTAAAACCCTCTTTGAAGTTTCTACCGTAATCCCACACTAATGAAGAAAGATGAGTGATTCGTTCTGTAATGCAAATCTAAGTTGAAGCCAGCTCTACATATTGGTACCTGAAGCAAGAGAAAAGACTTCTTTAGAAGAGAGATATTAACGATCAAACGTTCGATACATTTTTTTGGGACACCCTGTATTGTAGGAGTTCGATCGTGTGCAAAACTAATATCCCAGAAGAGTACATCATCCGCTGGATTGAGCTCCTTTATACGAACACGACGAGATACCTACGTTGTGCAGCAGGAACATCAATGCTTTTTGAAATCCAAGTACAGGTCGAAGGTTGAAGCACACATCATTTTGCGCTCAGGGGTGTCCTTAAGAAAAAAAAGAAAACTTGAATGCTTTAAAACTCCATCGTAAAATTCTTACGAATTTCTAACAAAACCTTGTTCCATCGAAGTGCATGCAGAAAAATTCTCAGTATTAATGTAAGAAGAGCAACATTCACTGCAAAAAGTGAGCACATTGGATACCAAGCTCAGACAATCGCAAAATAATTCCGGGGGAAAACTAAACTTCTAAAACCGCCGGGGCTGACGCTCCTATTGAGCCGTGTGGGTGGGCTCCGCCCTACCTGGTCGCGCCCTAATGGCAGCTCCATTAGGAGTGTCCCCTTGGAAATTTTAGAAGTTCAGTTTTTCCCTGAAATATTTTGTGGTGTAGATTTTCTCCCAACAATACATACTAAGCTGGAGCCTAAGTTCTGTCCGGTTTTCGTTGCCTTATGTTTGAAGCAGCTGTTCTAGGATATTTTCATCCTTGATGCTGCAGTACTGGTATCATTAGGGAGCGTTTTTCTAGCTATTTCTGTTACATATCAAACTGTTCAAATCATTCCAACAAGATTGCGGGGTTAAGATAGCAGGTAGCCGAAAAACGATTATGACTTATTTTATTGAGATCTTTACAACGCGCTCTCCAAAACAATCTCTTGATAGTCACGAAAAAAGGTACTAATGGGCTTATATAGGTAATAATGCGTTACTTACATAGAAAAATCGTCTTGCTTGCAGGATGTGTTGCTTAAAACTCTTCATATAGATGTTCTATAAGCAACACCTTTTTTGAGAGGCAAAGATAAGTCCAAGGTAGAAGACGCTGCAATAAAGCACATGCTAGCAGGGTCGATCCACCACTTACGATACCGCTCACATTTTTTGAAAAATGGACGCGAATGTAGGCGAACTTACGCGACGGTCGCGTGAGTTATGTGACGATCGCATAAGTGATGTGACGGTCGCCTGATGTATGCACGTCACCGTCGCGTAGCCATATCTCGCTTCAGAGTG